TTTTTTATAAATAATTGTCCAACTATCACAATAAAATATAACACAAAATAAGAGATTATACGGACAGTTTCAAAAATGTACATTATCCTAATATGATGTATGTAAATTCAGAGGATAAGTTCTAAATAGGATTTAAAAGTACACATCCTGAATTCCCTGCTGTTAAATATAATCATGTACATGAATAAGTTACAGATTTATTTTCTAGGTGGTCGGGAAAATTGTAGTTAGTTTGAGAAGTCATGCAACTAATGGAATTCGACTTTATTAGGTGAGAGACAGTTACTCACAGAAGACAGTGGATAAGGTTGCGTAATATCATGAACGATTAAAGGTAGACATCAACACCTTAGAGTTTTTGGGGATCGCACGCAGGTTTCAGGGTCCTGGATTCGACTTTCGCATGCTGTCATCATCGAGGACGTGCGCTGCTGACAAGTCCCATATTTGGATGAAACAACCGTCCAATGCCTTTAAAGTTTCTAATCGTACTCTAACATTCTATAAAATGTGTTTTTATTAGGTTAAGTACCAACCATAAACACGATCAAATCAACTGAAATGCCAAAAAACCTCATATTTAAACAATAAATATCATATTCAACTAATGAATTCATTAAACTTACAGTTAATTTTTTAATAGTTTAATTAAAAATTAATTATTCACTAACCAGTAAATAGTAGTTACTCGTTAATAATCTGGTTTTATATATATACATATATATTAAGCAGGAACAACTACTTGATTGGTCTAATGACGCATTTCGCATAACTCATATACAATGTAAGCGTAAGTTTTCGTGAACACAAACAAAACACAAAAAACTGTAATCATAAATTCTGGACAAATTTTTCACAATCTTGTAAAAATGTATCTCCTTTTTTTTGTGAAATTTAGTACAATTCTCTGATTTTTTCTTAACAGAAAAAGTATGATTTTACCTCAAATTTCTCAGCTGAACGAACTCTTTTATGATTCAAAAGTTTCAGATTTACAGTTTGGTACATTTTTTTGCTTACTGTTTTGTGTTCTTGTCCGATACAATAACAATCGTTTTTTTGTGTGTGATTAGCGAACAAAAATCTATCAACAGTCTAGCGAACATGATTCTCATGCTGTGCGTTTAGTTTCGAAAAATGTTTTTTGTAAATCTGTAGCTTACTCACATGGACATTTGTACATACACATTTATCTATGTAGTTATTAGTTAGGTTTCGTATTTCCAAAAGTTTCCAACAGTTTCTCAAACTTATCGTAAAAAATATTATTCATCTATGATCATATTCATAGAAAAAGTAGTCGGTGACGCAATCTAACTAATCATTTTGTTATCAGTAATTGTAATATGTTGCGTAATTCACCTTTCCGATTAAAATTGTATGAATCACGGTGTTATGTAATTGCCAGTTGAAGTGAGTAGGCAGGACACTACATATTTCTTATCATTCAATTAAGTGGCCACATTACAACGTGATCTGGATGATTCGGTTAGCTGCAAAATGGATCGACAATGGATTTTAATATTCTATGTGTCGATAGTGAATATGTCTCGCAAGTATAGTGTTTCCGCCTTAAAAAATGGCTACCAAATCGAGGAGAGAATGTTTATTTGACTACCGAATAATATACCTAAATATTCCACTTCCGAAAATAATTCCATTTTTTGACCAATGACATTCATTCGTCATATAGGACATTTCTGATGGTCATCGAGTGACCTTCTTGTTTGATTAATCCTGATTGGCCCTTTATGTCAGAATCTCTGCAAATGTAAATGATTTGGATTTCATAAACTGTTTTATCACTTATTTTTAGGTTTAGTCATCCAATATCCTAAGAAAATTGTTTGTAAGTCTAATTCTATTGGTCAATTCCTATTGGTTGTCTTGACTATCAATGTCACGGGCTTCAATGTTGTTTCCTATTTGACCTTACTTTTAAATACGCATTATCTGTAACATTTTATGACTCGCATCCCTAATCCGGGATCATGATTCTCTTCTGAACTCGGACCTCATACTTTCTGGATGATCTTACAATACATCTTCTACTACATATCAAGTCTTCTTTTTTTATTCAATGTGGGTTTGGAACACTCCGATTAGAGTAGCGTGTCGTATCGTCGGATCCTCTATCCTTGCTCCCGTTTTCCGACTAAGGTAAACTCGTAATAGTTCAAGCCTTTCATATTGAGATGTTTACGTGCGTGCGTAACGCTTATACAAGAGAAGCTGTTCACATACTGAACTTTACTGTATTTTTCATCAAGTTGCGTGGACTATGAGTTTACATTGAGATTAGGTTATAATACAGTTGCATTTAGTCATAATTATACATTATTGTAAAGTAATTGTCGAATGTTCGATTAGAATAGTGTTCAATTTCTGCTGACCAACGTTTTACATAGTTTGCAGATTTTACTGAACATATGGTATTCCTTGATTAGTAGAAAGCTGTTTATATTTACTGATAAGACTACAATAACGTCCTCTTACTACTTAGCGCTTGCTTTACTGTGGTTTCACATCACTATTTAATCTTATGAAATAAAGTGTAGTTTTGCACAGAATGGATACATTAAACATGTGATTCCAGTCAACCTTTGTGATAATGTCAGATGTTATTACAGAACCCTTTTGAATCAGGATTGGAGTTTTTGAACTATGCTGAAATAATAGATAGACTGAGTAAAAAGATCACTAAAGAATTTTTATAAGCTAAGCTATCAAGTCAATCAGTAATCAACAAACACATTGACCCGATTTATTAACTAATCAGAAAGATCGTAGACAAACATAGGTTCAAGAAACAAATCAAAGAGAGATACAATCAAAATAAACATGGAGACAACGACAAGTTTAAAGTCAGTAACAACCAATCAAGAGTGGAGTCATACGTGGAAGAATTAAATACTCCTTTTCTGCTCTTTGAAATTTGTGCTGTTGATGATGTACAGTGGAAGAACAATGAGAGCTTCACAACCGAAACATCCAACTCAGAGGATGAATCTCCATTACAATCATTCACCTGAGGTATAAATTTTCCCCACCATCTCGAAATCATGTAAGCGTGGTATCTTTACCTATGTCTAGGGATAAAAATTCGATACCATCGATGTTAGTTTAATTTTAGTATTATTGACAACCTTGGATGTTAGACAGTTCTCGGTTGGATACGTTGCACTACCATTATTCTGTACTGGTTGAGTGTAGACATTACATCTTAGAGCAAATTCGAAAACTCTGAGAAGTAAAGAAACGTTGGTAATCAACAGAATTTGAAATTGTTTCAATTTTAGTTTTGTTGATAAATCTGACTAAAACTTTACCGATCTCGACAGTGAAATGTGCAAAGTTTTGACGCACGAAAGCCACAGTCAATCGGCAAATAATAACATCGTCCCAAAATGTTAAGTTAAGCGAATCAGGTTCCATATCTTTAGTGTGAGGATCACCTTTTATGGGCCTCTTGTTGTTGGCCGAGGATAATATGAGGAAAAGGAACTTGAGTATATATTGGTCTGTAGTAGAACGCTTCTACTGCTGCTCCCCATGTAATGCCAACGTTCTCCTTTAATAAAACCTTACACCATGGATTTATTTTGTTTTGCTGTGAATAAAGGCGGGATATTATAGAACATTTAGTGGTGAGCATAGTCAATCTGGTATCTTGACTCGCTCACAACAGGTCTATCAATCAAGTATTCGTATTCTCGGTAAACGTGTTCAGAAATGTATTTACGTAGCTGGAAGGATTTTAGTGAGCAGCGTAACAGGCCAAATGCTTTGAAAACACCACAAAATGTTTCGATATGGTTATTGATTACATGAGTCCGGAAGAAGCTCAGAAAAATGAAACTAGACATGACTGAATGAACTTTGGTTTGCTAGATCATTTTCTGCGTTCAGAACAAGTGACTGAAGTTTTTTTCATTATGGCGCTTGAAGCGCTATCGTTGCGGATTTTAAAATGTCCCCTGTTACGATGACTGAACTACATCTCTTGTGAATTAACACTAATATCCAGAAGGAACGCCCGTCTTCATTCTATAAATCAACACTTTGCCTCTCTTGATCGAAACCCGATCGCTTTAACTTGTCCTAATGATTAAAACCGAACACACGGAAATTCTCTCATCTCAGGAATAAATGGCATATTTCCAGCAATACACATGAATAGAGTGATGTTGAAGGTATTATGCAACAATTACGCTCAGAAAACCAAATGAGATAAAACATTTTATCATTTTCATTGAAATCATATAAGAAGCAGGAGTAGACTTTGATCTAGCTTCTAATGAAAAAGCATATCTCATTACTTCAGAACTAATTGACGATACAACTCTAGCATAAGGAGGTACTAAAATAACCAGCCAAGGTGACTAGTTTGAACTTTGAGATTGCTGATAAATATGAAGAAGATTAGTAGACTTAGATAACCATAATTTGCTTAATCAAAAAGCAAGTAATTTACATCAAAACGAATCTCAACAGGAATTAATTATATTTATCTGAAAGCATTATCAAAATGGACAAAAACCTGATAAATATCGTTAAACCTAGAGTTAGATGAGTGAAAATCTCAAAAACAATACAGAAATCGTTTTATATTCTGCACAGATTTCCATAAGGAAATGAACTATCATTCTCCACCACAAAAACCAACGGCTACCATACCAGCGAGGCCAAATATCATTAAACATCGTGGCTGATCGTGCTCTTGGGCATAAGGAACACGGAGAAAACCATTAACATTTTCAAAGACACTTTCCTGTAACTAATAAATATTAATAACTTAGCTGGATATTATGTTATGGACCCGTGAGACATCTTGTTTCTGTGTCGAAATATCATGGCCAATACGGTTTTTATTCCAGCCGAAGTGACATGATATCCGAATGCAACTTCTTAAAAAGCCTGAACATATAGACGCTAACATAGTCGAAGCTTTTTGTTGGGGAAGATCGAAACTCAGAACTCACTTGAAAAAGGTACTCGTTTTGGATTTTTCACATTTTCGAGCATGCGCTACTTAGTTGACATTCATCTTACATTTCCCACTCAGAAAATCCCTGGCTGTTATTGGTTTATGGATTATCTTAGTATGCTGTTTTTGTGGCTCTCTCAAGGACGTTTCTATCATGTTTAAATAAGCTCGATTTATGTGCTTGTTGACCTCCTACTTCTGGGTGCTTGTAGGAATACACTCTCTACACCTTACCAAGACTTCTTGATATAGTTAGCCGGGCTGGAGACAAACGGATTAGAATAGCCTATCGTGTCACTGTGTCACTGCTTCCATTCTGTTTACCGAGAAAGGGGAAATCGTAATACCATTCAAGCATATCAATCGATGACCAAATAACTTTTAATCAAGAAAAGAAGTTTACTACCCTTTCTAGTTGTCAGTACATGATAAGTGTTGTTAGTGAATAACCTGGTATTTTGGAGATCGCATTCTACAAAATTCTAGAATTGCGAAACCTTAAACCTTTACCAGGGCTTCGTGGAGTTTTCCATCGCTCGATTCCGGAACTATTTGAAATAGTTCTTGCTATCTTACGCTATAGTGAAACACTTCTACGAAAGAAACGCAGTTAATGAAAAGAAAACATTTATTATTTTACTCGTTTTGTTTAACTGTATTAAAGACACTTACTCGAGCGCAACCCTATGTTTTGGCGTTGCTCCCATAATTCATAATTTGCTGCTCATTTACCCTGAATATACTTCTGATTATCGTGACAGGATAGTGATTAGTATTTAGTGGTGATCGTAGTCAATCTCAACTCGGTCACCACTAAAAAAGCAGGTCTTGCTCCTTCAGTTTTATCATAGCATGGAAAATCTTGAAAACATGTTGTGACCAAGAGACATAGGTTCATATATTATTCCTTGACTTTGTACAAACGACGGATATGGTATTGAACGTGCTTTTCATAGTGAAGGACTAGAAGATGGATTTGACTTGCCCACTCCTCTTTTGGTTTCCAAGTTACCTGCAAAGCCGGAATTTCGGCACAAATGTGAGCACGGTGCACGTGAGTGTGAAAGTTTCAACGTCAGAGATCTCTCATGTCCACTACACCCAGGTCTATTTAAAAACCTGCTCAACAAAGTTAGCCCACTGACCGTCATATACGCTTAAAAAAGCCATGATTTGGCGATCCATCAGAAGTGAATGAACTTCACTCCAGCTACTCAAGGGCGTCACAGTAGGATAGTGGGAGGTTGACAATGGATGAAAATTTATCCTTCCAAGATACCATACTATGAACGTCTAGTCCTACATGAAACAAATGAACTAATTGCTTTTTACCATTAGTCCAATCAGTTTGAGATCTAGGATTGGTAAATACGCAGAACTTTGGCACCAGGTCAAAATACGCTGGTACGTAGTTGAAGTAAACGCGGTCCTTGAATTTTTGCGACACAGTTAAAAATCAGTTGGTCACTACTATTATCGAATAATTTAAACGAGTAAAATTTTGTACACTGAATAAACGGTAGGGTAACACAGTTGCTCTCCCTCAGCAAACGAAGATACAAATGTGTCTCAGTTTACGAAAATAAATCGGAAAATATAAAAATTTACGAAATTAGGATGTGGGTAAATACACAATAGTTTTATTTAACATCGACCATCTTTTACGATTGTGATTATTCGATAACAGAATCGATTACTGTATTTTTGGTTGTGTGTGTGCATGCTTACTCGCTTATTATATGTCTAGCCTATTGTTGCCTGACTATTAATACTGTGGTGCGCGCTACTTATAAGTAGTATATGACGTGAGTGTAAACGTAATGTCTGGCAGCAGGAGATGGGGGAAGATCAAGAGAAAGGAAGAGTGGGAACACAATGGAATTTGTATGAAACGCATGAATAGTGAAATGTCAGACAATGGATTGATGATGGATTGAAGATTTGCAAATTAACCGTTTACGATATGGTTTTCCGATATTACTGAGTGTTACGTCCAGTTTTTTGCTCGTTGATCTTACGAAGCACTGTTGTCGTCTATTTGTAATTCACGGTCCCAAATTTCTATACCAAGAACGAAACTCCAAAGTAGATACCAAAGTTTATTCCAAATCACAAATTCGACCAAAATACTTTATTACAAATAGACGACCAATGTCGTTCTAACAACAATAATTATAATAATTACAATTACCTTCTAATTTATTATCTCTTGGAGCAAAAAACTGCAACGAACAACAAAGAGAAACGGGAGTCCAATATGTCCGCAAATAATAATTCAAACAAGTTCATAAGTTAAGTAAAACAAATGTACCCAAAAACAGTGAAATTAATGATATTTATACATGAAGGTTTTGATCAACAAAATGTCTTCGTTTCTCCCGTAACACTGAGTAACTCTGTAATTTTCGTTAAATACAATTCGGTTGCCCTCACCTGTGTTCTCCTTCACTACATTTGAGGTCGCTGCCTGCAAAAAGGGAGGAGCTCCCGTGGCCGAAGGAGTTTGAGGCCGTGGTGGGGCTGGTGGGTGTGAAGGGGCCCGCGGCGGAGTTGGTGGTGCTGGGGACGCTGCGGAGAGTTGAAGCAAAGGCTGTATACGACAGCTTGGACGGTGCCGCCAGGAAGACGGCGTGGCAGACTGTCACCGGGCGGCTGATGACGGAGTTCGACATCCCAATGGACAGGGAAAAGGCGCTGCAGGAGTTCCGGTTTTCGAGGCTGTCGGCTGATGATGACCCGCTGGTGCTTGCTGTGGAACTCACCAGATTGTTGCGCCGTGCTCTGCCGAATATCGATGAGCAGTCGGAGGCACAGTTGTTGGCGTCGCAGTTTATCGAGAGTGTGCCTGCCACCGTGTCCCAGCAGCTGAAGCTAGTAAACGTAGCGCAACCTATGGACATCGGTGAACTGGCGAAGGTGACTCGTCAGCTGATGACACGAACAGTAGCTCCAGTCGGGTGCGGAAAGCAGGAGATAAATACTTTCGAGAAGAATATTGAGGAGTTGGAGCGTGAGATAACAGCATTACGAGTAAATCATAAAAGGAACGATAAACATTCCGTTTGTGTAGGGGCAGGACATTGGAAGAAAAACTGTCCAAGAAGACGACGACGAAGATATTTTAGACATTATAACGTGTGTTCTTTCCACCCTAGGAATCTGGAGGTTCTTGCACTAGTAGATAGAGGGGCAATTTATGCCAGAGTGTACATAAATGAACAGGAGTTAGTGTGTTTGATCGATGCAGGGGCAGCAATATCGTTACCCCGAATATGTACTCACATAGAAATTATCATCGTCCGCTTGAATCAGCTGTGTCTGATGCACGCCTCTAAACCTGTTCGTTTTTATCTCTATAACCTCCTCAGTTCACTAATATATTCTGCCCCACTTATTATTATTTCAGTTCTTCTTCTTATCCTTACAATTTAGTCCTCAAGTAGTATCTGCACAGCCGATTAGTTAACCTGTTTATTCAGCCCATATGGTTTGTCATACCCTATGGACGAACTAATTAATCCACTGCTCTCAAGTTATTATTCACTAGTTTTTCGACCTTGTCAATTAGTTTCTTATAACCTTAGCGGCTTTCTCGCATCGCTTACTTTGCTTATCACACGTCTAGCTTACGTTGATTGACTATGAATAGTTAGTCCTGCCTCATCACGATGTATCGTACAATCACCCAGCATTCTGAAATTAGCTTTGTTTTTCCACTATTCGTCTTGATGTTCATCCGCGTTGACTACTGCATGAAATAAACTCATCCGATTCAGTCCGTATTCGGCTTATTTTGATCGCTGTTGCACAAACAGGTTTATCCCAATAGTAGTATTTGAAAATTAAGTCAGGGATCTACGACACGATGTAAAGATCTGGTGGTCCATAAGAAGCAAAGAGAATTCACTTGAGCCTCTAAAGGATCTTGTAACAATTGAGAAATAGGCAGTATACAATAGGTATAAGCCTAGTCATTTGAAATATCAAGTGATGGACATTCTGTTCCAGGTGGTACAAGCAAAGGACGTCCCCGAATGACGTGCATTTCCGAATGTCTCCTCAGAGCTCACCCTCGATTTAATAACTACAGAGAGCATGAAGGTCACCATAAACCATATGAGGGATGCAGCTAAGGCCAACTCAGCTCTACATTTCAAGCAATGACAACTTGGTTCAGACACCCCTTAGTTGTCGCTAACTCTTCAAAACATATGCTTTCGCATGTCTTAAAATTCACAACGCCATCGCTCTCCTTATCATTGGAAGATACATAGTCAGTCAGTCAGTCGCCTAGTCAGTAACAACGTAGAACTTCGTACATGAGTACATAAGTTCAGGTTGCCATACCCTATCAGCACAGATACGCATTTGTCACTTCGAATCCCTTAGCGGTAGAGATAGTAAAAGTATTAGCAGTAATGGAGAAGATTAGAGTTCGAAGGTATGATTCCAGAAGTATAATTCAGTGAGATAACTTTAGAAAGAGAAAGATAGAGATGATGAGAAATTTAGGAGGTTAGAATTTCAGAGAATATTATGAATGAATACACCTGCGCCACTGCAAACGAAAAGATATAAATACCCTGGATATAGTGCAGAGATGAACGTCCCTGTTATTAAATAATAAACCTTATGAAAACTGACTTCAACACTTAAGATTATTCCTGCTTAGTTGCAGGAGAATCAGTGGTGATCTAATAATGGCATACAACATAATAAGTATGCCGAAACATTCCAACACGAAACGTTGCCACCACGCCCCTCGAGGTATTTTCATATCAGAGAGTAGATAACTAGGTAGGCGCCCACATCTACTCATAAAGAGCTTTCGCAGCTTGGCCTGCTCTTCCAGCTGGAGTGAACACAGCCCTCTCAGTGGATAGCTTATAGGGAAGACTTCATAAACACGAACCCACATACTGATAATCATCTCCCACTTGAACTATCTATGCTTGATGCATGTCTAAAAACTTACTAGTTGCCAGTTCATTAGATCACAGACCTATTCTATCTCTCTGACTGTCTCTGTTTCCCTTTCTTTCTTGACACTTAGGTCCTCTCACACTATCTTTAACACTAATTAGGTATTTATTTGCTGCTAAAATCTTATTTGCATTAGAATTTTATCTTAATTTCTACGTTGCATTTAACCGACATCAAGTCTGGTAATGTTGCAGGTGCTGACATTCGTAAACTCTACTACCATGAGCCAAATGCTCTCACGAAAAATCATGGAACATACAAACTCAGAAAGAACTACCAACTGACTGGAATTACAACAATCGAAGGCTAGGCTATCATCCATTAAACGTTGCCAAATGCCTGGAGACATACTAAAAGAACAAGTGAGAGCAAAAGTGTCAACCGGTTGATATTAGTTCACGAAAAAGCTATTGGACAGTGGATATTTGTCCTTGCACTCCATTCAAAAGTTTACGCTATCAACTAGTTCCGGCCATCAGTTTGTGGTAATCTAATGCATCTGTTATTTATGATTGTCATCGATTTTTATTTCAATTAAAAGTGAGTGGGTTCTATCTGTCTCTTGAGTCTTTGGATCACTTTCCTTCTATGCTTTCTTCATGATAACCTCACATACTGTTCTTCACATATACTCAAGGTACCTTCAGGATAAATGCGAACCTGTCAAACACTGAAGTAACAAGCTAAGGTCATGCCTTTGAAGATTAAAAAACCAATTGCTCGGTTTCTACATGGTCAGGTTACCCAAAGAATCAAACTCTTGGAATCAGCATTGCTTGAAATTCATGATCTTGACAATCGCATGAAAATGGAACTATTGGCTTTGAACGCACTTGCTAATCCAAACGAGGATGAGTTTTGTGAAGAGGATTATATGACATATTCTTCTGCGGACGTAAGTAGTCTGTTTAAGGTAAAAGTATCGATTTTTCGGGCAAAAACTTTCATAACGTTCAACTTAGGGCGTCCGGAGCAATACAGTTTTTTCATTCGTGGACCTAGTCTTCCAATCTTGGGGGAAAATTGAATAATTTTCTGGAGTATACGGGTAGTCTGGTTGCATTTCCCCGTAAATTCCATAGGCCTGGGGTTTTTTGACTTTGGAGAAATTCCTAAAATTTCTTAGGCAAACCTGAAATGTCAACTAATTTAGGGACAGCCACTGAAACATAATGTAAAATCCCAAAACTTTCCTGTTATGGGGAACACTCAAAATTTTACCCCGGAAATGTGAACCATTTCCTCGACCGAATGTTTGTACTTAGCTTTCTGTAATTGTTAGTTTTAAACCATATTTCACGTCAGCTCAAACAGCCAGGTAGTATCATTAAACGTTTTACAGTTAAAATATAACTGTGATATATATGTTCTTGAAAACTAAGGCACATCGTTTTACGTTTATCACAAAAATTTTTTAAAATATTCCGACGATATATCCACGCATATTAAGTTAGAGCAATAAATGTAAGAGATAGTTCATTTTGTAAGCCTTCAGCTTGATTAAAAGTCGATTAACGGTACAGTGATGATAATATTTCTTAAAAAAGATACTGACATAGTCTCCTGAATGCCTTGATCAACAACACAAGAACGTTCGCGACTCGTCTGCGTCCCTCTAAATGCTAAGCCTTGGTTCAGGATTTTTCTGATTGTATGTTTAACCGAACTTTCTGCAGTAAAGTTGTTGGGCGCAGTGATCTTTAATAATTGTAATTGTGGTAGGAGTATGCTATGTGATAGTCCGTCCTGTATTGCTCTATCTCTGCAAAAAGATGGTTTAGGCAACCGGGTAGTATCACTGTCCCACATACTTTAGTGTAGCTGAACTACTTAGTGAATGAGCTATTTTTTACTAATTTTAGGTGGTATTAAATAAAGTGATTACTACTTTTTCAGTCAACTACTATCCTGTTCCACTCTGATAATTCATTCACAAAAATGGTATTTCAGGTCTTTTTTGTAATTTAGATTGGATTTTCCTCACTAACTAACTGATGACGTAGTCCTACTTGGTGAAGACGCTGACAAAATGCGGAGTCCTCTGACTACACTAAGCAACAATGCAATCATGTTCGGGATGCGGTTTCCCCCTCGAAATGCAAAATGTTGCTTCAAGATTGGGTTGCATCGGCGCCTGTACTAGTGATAGTAAGTGAAGTAGTAGAACGTGTAGACCGCTTATTTTATCTGGGGAGACTCATCAGTGCCGATGACCTGGTGACTGACGAAATCTCAGCACGGATACAGAAGACTCTATTGGCTTTTGCCAAGTTGCGTCACTTATGGCGTAGGCGAGATATCCGTTTTCTGACTAAAGGACGACTGTACTGCGCAGTAGTTCGCTCCGTCTTACTTTATGGCTGTGAAACATGGCCAGTGAGAGTAGAAGATATTCGTCGGTTACTGGTTTTCGATCACAGTTGTCTTCGAAGCATTGCTCGTGTATTGTGGGACAACCGAGTGAGCAATGCTGTTATTAGGAAACAGGTCCTAGGTAAGAATGGCAGATCGATAGATGAAGTAATGAAACTTCATCAGTTAAGGTGGTTGTGACATGTGCTGCGTATGCCTAACCGCCGACTGCCTCGACGAGCTTTGTTTTGTAGTGTAGGAGTAGGTTAGAAATCCATGAAGTCATTGACGAGTGGACTGAGCCACGTCGGTAGTTGTCAACAACCTGGTTGGGGTCCGCGAGATGATAATAATGACATGGCTCAAAACCGTTCGCGATAACGCCGGTGCATTTATTCTTTGTGTTCTCTCAAATCTTAATCTTCTGGATTCTTCAACCCCTCTAGTTTTGACTTTCAAAACTTTTCTCACTGAATCATACTTCTTGAATAATATCTTCGAACCCTAATCTCTCCAATTACCTCTAATACCTTTACTACCTCTTCTACTATTGGATTTGAATTGACAATTATATCTCTGTGCTGATGTGGTATGACAACATGAACTGATGTACTTACGTACGCAGTTCTACGTTGCATCTGACTGACTGACTGACTGACTTTCATCACTAACTGACAATTGAAAACCAGAAGACGCTAGACATCTCTCCTATTTTGAAATTTGAAAGTTACCACTCAAAGTCGTACATAGGACTGTCAGTCAGATGCAACGTAGAACTTGGTACGTAAGTACATCAGTTCATGTTGCCATACCGCATCAGCACAGAGATGTAATTGTCAATTCAAATCCAATAGTAGTAGTAGAGATAGTAAAGGTATTAGAAGTAATCGGAGAGGTTAGGACATAGGACTGACTTATGAAGATTTTGTTCACTTCCAAATCTGAAGGTGTTTCACCTTTGATCCTGCCTGGTCCAGTACTATTCGGTGTTCATTTCTTTTTTTATGTTGACAATGTCAATCCATTGTATAAATCATCTTTTATTATTTCTAGCAATCATATTGATAATGTTACCGGTATGTGTTGTATTTAATTTTCTAAGCTGGTCAATTTGTTTTATCCTATTTATTTTTAACACAGAAATTACTAAAAGGTCATCAGGATGTTGCTGACTCGAATTGTGATATCAAATATGAATTGGTTGATTTAGACGATGATTTCGCCGATTATGAAGCATCAATTAATAGAATTGACGAACAAATTCAATCGATCGATTTCCATCGATCCCAATCGTGTTTAATGATGAATGATCAAAACCATTTATCGTCTACCATGCAAACATTTAATTTTCTTACTGGTCTCATTAATGATCAATCGTTAAAATTGACATCTAATGTGAATGCCATTTCTCGTTTTCCTGTTGATATAGATAATGCGTCAAAGTAGTTAGTTCTCTTTCTCTCTCTTAAACATTATATTCTTGTATAAAAGATTCAATTCGAACTTTAAAACATGTGTAAATACATATACATATATAAATGTGTACACCTGTTTCTTTTTTTCAATACATTTTCAGTGATGCTTACTGTTGTGATTTGTGAAAAACTAATATTTTGATGAAAATGTATGCTTTGTAAAACTTGAGGCTATTTACTGAAATCATTTTTATTTCATTATAAAGTAGATTATATTTGATTGGTTAGTTAGTCACCCGACCGTAGCTGCTACCTTGACGTGGTGGTCGTGCTTGCCTATCGTAATGACCCAACCAAGCTATACTGGCTGGAACATATGTTCCTGAAGGTTCTACCATGCCAGGCAGGTCGATTGGAGAATGATGAAACTAAAAGCAGCTACTCAAGGTCTGAGGGCGAAGTCGTACTACTGAATGCAGAGGGGTGTGACAGCAGTAAGGTGTTTCCCTCGGACAACCAGCATCTGCAGTGATTCTGCCCTCTCACAAGGAAGGAAGGCTTAGAAAAGGTCGACCCTAAAAATTTCACACCTCACCCTACCTCACGGATTTCCGTCTCCGGCGGTAAGGGTGCCCACTAAGGGCCTTTAAGAGCGCAGCTAATACTCAAAAAACCTTTAACAGAAAGGCCGTGCTTGACCGACCTCAAGCAGTTGTCCCTTGGGCTCTGCGGTCACGCTCCCGGGTCTCCGAGACCAACACCAATCTATCTTCCTTTTCAGGTTCCTCAAGAAACAACCTTCCACGTTGTAGGCAGTCGGGAAGTGACAATCGCCCTTATACCCGTAACAGCACACGAGACCAAATTGGTCGAAATCAAATCCTGACTGACTGGTTAGTTAGTCAGCTACAACGTAGGACTTGGGACGTACGTACATCAGTTCAAGTAGCCATACCACATATATGCACAGACACGCAATCGTCAATTCGAATCCCATTGTAGTAGAGGTAGTAGAAATATAAACAGTAATCGGAAATATTAGGTTTCGAAGATATGAGTCATGCAGTAGAATCCAGTGATATAAATTTAAAAAGAGAAAAATAAAGGTGATGAGAAATTAAGAACACTAGAATTTCAGAGAAGACAAAGAATGGATGCACCGGCGCTATTGAGAACGGTTTTGAGCCATGCCATTCAAAGTCTGTAACCATCGATTATTATCATCTCGCGGACCACAACCAGTAGTCTGCACTTACTAACATAACTCAGCCCACCTGTCAGTAACTTCATCGATTTATGCCATGTTTTGGTATGGCCGCCACTAGCTTTCTTCCAACCTACTCCTATATCGCGAAACGTAGATTGACGAGGCAGTCGGTGGTTGGGCATTCGTAACACGCGCGTCACGACCACCTCAACTGATGAAGTTTCACTGCTTCATTTATTGACCTACCATCCTTGCCTAGTACTCCTTTCCTAACAACAGCATTGCTCACTCGGCGGTCTCAAGATGTACATTATTTGAGTGGTTAGGGGCGTTTTTACGTATCTAAATTGTTGGATGCTGGTGTTGATATTGTTGACTGTTGGTTGCCTGATCTACTAAGGGCGATGGAACAGTCCATGATGACACTATTGTTGTGTAATATTGTTCCATTTAGACGTAGCTACTATTTTGAAATAGTGGTCAGGCCTTAATCTACGTGATGACCCAATTAAGTGACACTGATTGAAACGCTTGTTTCTCTCAATTCTATTATTCAGGATATGTTGGTTGACATTGTCCTACTTGGTGAAGACGTATGGCTAACCACCGCTGCCGAGACGAGATATGTTTTGTGGTGTAGGAGTAGGTTGGAAGAAAGCTAGGGGCGGGCAAACCAAAGCATGGCAGAAACCCATGAAGTCATTGACGAGTGGACTTAGCCATGTCGGTAATTGTCGACTACCTGGTTGGGGTCCGCGAGATGATAGTAATTGATAGTTAGAGACCCTGAATGACATGGCTCAAAACCGTTTGTAATGGCGCAGGTGCATCCACTCTCTGTGTGCTTTTTTATTCTAGCCTGAATTCCTCATAATCTCTCTTTCTCCTTCTAAATTTATCTCACTGAATTATACTTCTCAAATCATATCTGCGAACCCTAATCTTCTCCATTACTGCTAATACTTTTACTCTCGCTACCACTACTGGATTTGAACTGACAGTTGCGTCTCTGTGCTGATGTGGTATGGCAACCTGAACTTACATACTCATGTAAGAAGTTCTACATTGTAACTGACTGACTGACCGCAGTGTGCATCCACGATTTCTGCCACTCACAGGAACCAAACTCAGGACCTTCTGTTTTGCACGCTAACGCCTAATCCTTAAACCACTAAGTCGATATCCAACAATGTTAAATGTCTAACTCTGATCAATCTAAGTTTTCTCACAATCTCACCCATTGTCTTCGATAGGTAACTTCATACACCCAACATGAGTGAGCTCCACTGGTCAAGTCTACTCACTAGAACTCTGGGAGGGTTCCGTCACGAAACTAGTCACTAGTGAGCACTATTGGTTCAATCATAAACTGTACATGCATACATATATGTTTCATTGTACTGCTTCATTTCCTTTACAGGCTTCATCATCACCGAAACAATTAAAAATACCAAGAGAATTTTCACCAATTAATCAATTAAAATATCGTAATTTACATAATAGACATTATTCACCAAATAATAACAGTGATTCTGATAACGATGTTGATGATGATGATCATTTTGATCAGAATTCAAATTGTGACAAGAATGCAAATATTCAAGTATATGATATAGATTTATTGAAAAATTCTTTCAATCATCATTATACTACTAATAGTAGTAGTACGAGTATAACACAAATTGATCATGTAACCAATCATTTAAATCGTACAAATGATCCATTGTCGTCTTCACGATTCACAGAGAATGTGTATATACGTGAAGAAGAAGACGATAGCTGTGATGATGATGATGACGATGGCGTTGGCGACAGTGATGACAGTAGACATTCGATTTATTATGTGAATCGTAAAATGTCAACAACAGCAACAACCATATGTACATATATTCATAATTATTATTATTATTATTATTATCAATTACGATACGTGATTCTTTGTATGGCTTTCATCTTAGTTTGTATATTTGGCGTATATATAAGTAAGTTGTGATACTTATTTTTCGTGTATTTGTATGTATATATATATGTATATATAACCATAGTTCATGCTAAAATATTTGTACAGCGCACAGATTATTGAATTTTGTTAGTGGGATGGAATATTGTCCGTGTGCTTTCTTTGAAAGCTACACCCTGACCCCTCGGACTTAGGGGATTGGTCCTCCAGGTATTGTAGAGCCAATGTGCACCACTGGTTTGGAATGAAGGTTATCCAACTAACTACCTTTGGGTATGTTCACCCAGGTTACCCACTAACCTGATTCAATTGTAGAACATTCACTTTTCGTTCTCTCTCTGTTTCGTGAAGTAGTCGAGCGTGTAGACCGCTTCACTTATCTTGGGAGTCTCATCAGTGCCGATGGCGTGGTGACTGACGAAATCTCAGCTCGGATACAGAAGGCTCGATTGGCTTTTGCCAACCTGCGTCACTTATGGCGTAGGCGTGATATCCGTTCTCTAATCAAAGGACGAGTGTACTGTGCAGTAGTTCGCTCGGTCTTACTTTATTTCTGTGAAACATGGCCAGTGAGAGTAGAAGGTATTCGTAGGTTACTGGTTTTCGGTCATAGGTGTCTTCGAAGCATTGCTCTTATATCGTGGGACAACCGAGTGAGCAACGCTGTTATTAGGAATCGGGTGCTAGGTAAGAATGGCAGGTCAATAGATGAAGTGGTGAAACTTCATTAGTTGAGGTGGTTGGGACATGTGCTGCTTATGCCTAACCACCGACTGCCTCGACGAGCTTTGTTTTGTAGTGTAGGAGTAGGTTGGAAGAAAGTGAGGGGCGGCCAGACCAAAACATGGCAGAAATGCATGAAGTCATTGACTAGTGGACTGAGCCATGTCGGTAATTGTCGACTACCTGGTTGGGGTCCGCGAGATGATAATAATCGATGGTTAGAGACCTTGAATGACATGGCTCAAAATCGTTCGCAATGGCACCGGTGCATTTATTCTTTGTGTTCTCTCAAATCCTAATCTTCTGAATTCTTCAACACCTCTAGTTTCGACTCTCTAAACTTTTCTCACTGAATCATACTTCTTGAATAGTATCTTCTAACCCTAACCTCTCCGATTACTTCTAATTCCCTTACTACCTCTTTTACTATTGGGTTTGAATTGACAATTACTTCTCTGTGCTGATGTGGTATGTCAACATGAACTGATGTACTTATGTACAATGTTCTACGTTGCATCTGACTGACTGACTGACTGTTTCGTAAACAACACTTGTGCTATGAGAAGAAATTGAATAGGATTTCATTGTCCATGGTTATTTACACGCGGTTAGATTAAAGCATTTGAAGAGGAAGAGCAAACTGTTTTTTTAATCTTGGCCGTAGCAACATATTTGGTTATTTTCTCCAATTTTTGGCGTAATGTGTTCTTTGATCTTCCCCTTTTCGATTGACCGTCGAGGATTCTGAATGAGGACTTGTCTTGTGACGCAGTTGGGTGATCTTCTCAATGTGTTTCCTATCCTCTTCCAGTTCTGATTTCTGCATCTGTTGAAATCTAGTTTGTTTTATCCCACAATTAGTTGTTGCTAATGTTGTCTGGCCAACGGATCCATGATATTTCGCGTACATAACTGTTTATCAACACTTTTATCTACCGGATGATGGTTTTCGTAGTTCTTCTAGTTTCCGCTCTATACAGTAGAACTGTCGTGACGTTTGTGTCGAGAATTGTGACTTTGGTGTTGGTCAATAGTTTTTTTTTGAGTTCTAGATGTCCTTCGAATATAGAAATGCTGCCCTTGCTCTGTCGATCCCTGCCTCCACATCTGCGTCAGATCCGCCTCGTTTATCAGTGATGCTGCTCAGGTATGTGATTTGATTGGTACATGTTGTGTTGTATTTCAGGGTCTTGCTTTCCCCTTAGGGTATGTTCAGACCTACTGCTGCGAAATCTACTGCTACACTGGTCGTCTCCTGCTTCATTTGTTGTTGCGTATGTGATAGAATAGCTAGATCATCTGTGAAGTCCAGATCGACCAACTGCATCCTGGCTGTTCACTGTAATTCCGTGCTTTCCTCCTGATGTTGACGTCTTCATAATCCAGTCGACCACCAGGAGAAAGAAAGGGTGAGAGCAAGCAACTTTGTCTGACGTCTATCTTCACTTGGAAAGAGTCTGTGAGTTGTCCTCCATGCACGATTTCTTGGTTTAATCCATCATAAGAATTCTGTGTGATGTTGACTATCTTCTGAGGCACGCCGTAGCATCAAAGAAGCCTTCATAGTGTTGTCCTGTCCATTCTATCAAATGCTTTCTTGTAGTCAATGAAGATGATGTAGAGTGTTGAATTCCATTCAGTTGATTTTTCCACAATCATCAGTATTGTCGCGATTTGTTTGGTACACGTTCGATCCCTACGGAATTCAGCCTACTGATCTCGAAACTGGGCGCCAACGGAATAAAGATTCTGTTGAAGACTTTCCCTGTTATTGAGAGATGAGTGATCTTTCTATAGTTCTTGCATTAGCTGAGATTGCCTACCTTTGGTATCTTGATGAGGTGTCCTTTACACTCTGTTGGTACTCATTATTCATCCTAAATCTTGTTGAAGAGAATGTGAAGTATCTTTGCAGTTACTGTTACGTATGCTTTCAGTGCCTCAGTTGGAATATAATCCGACCCTTCTTCTTTGCCGCTCTTGATTTATTTGGTGGCCTTACTGATCTGTCCAGTTGATGATGGGTCAACATTCATTGGGAGGTGCTGCTTCGATGTTGGATGGGTCTAGTGGGACTGGTCGATGCAAGAGTTCTTTAAAGTGCTTCTTGGCTCTCTCTCTTTCCCTTGATCAGATATGCTTGGGATTTATTAAAATAATAGTAACAATGAACAGATCAACACAGGAAAATGACAGGGCCCCCAAATGTTCTTCTTCTACCAAGAGTGCGGAGTGTCCACTTTCCCTCTCTCCAAATGTTCTCACATGGTGTTGGGGACGTTTGATCCCCAGAACTCACTTGATAAAGTTCTTAATCTTGCATTTTATTCATGTTCTGATGAGTTGACCTTGAGATCAGGAAAATCCTTGATTGTGATTGGTTGATGTGTTATTTTAGTGTGCTATTTTTGTGGTTCTCGCAAGGACAGTTTTATAATGTATAAATAAACGTGATTTGTGTGCTTGAAATCATCGTATTTTCTAGGTGCTTGTAAAAATACAGTTTTCACGCCTTACCAAGACTTTGTGATACCCGTTAGCAGGGCTTTGGGACGCTCGGATCAGAGTAGCCTATCGTGTCACTGGTTCATTGTCTCGTTCTCGTTTATCGACTAAGGTGAACTCGTAATACTTTCAAGCATATCAAGTGACGAGCATAACACATAGCTATGGGTGTATAAACACTATTAGAAAATCTAAAGGAAGAAAGGTGAATGACTGGTCAAAGCTTAAACCAGGTTGGTGAATATGTATAATCCACTTATAGGGGTTGGAAAGCTCTGATTTCAAACCAGTAGTATAGATGGGCCCCGGGATCCTTAGGAACTGAATAGTATGTAAACCTGTTGTTGGCAACCGGTCACCATGAAACTTCATCCCCTTACATTGCTATACTCACTGCATTGTGGATTAATTCTTTAGATCAGCGGCTCGAGCATGTGGCCTCTTGCGAAAACACTTGGACGATATTGTTATGCTCGTCAGATTGATATGCTTGAAATTATTTGACGAGTTCACCTTAGTCAATGAACGAGAAAGAAACAATGACCCAGTCACATGGTAGGCTACTCTGATACGTTGCCCCAAATTAACTGACGAAAAAGTCATGATATGACGTAGAAAGTGTATTCTACAAACACCCAACAAGCACAATGATTTCAAGCACACAAATCTCCTTTATTTATACATCATAGAAACATCCTTGGGAGAGTCACAAAAATAGCACATCAACCAATCACAGCCAAGAATTTTCCTGGTGAGAAATGTGATCTCAAGGTCAACTGATCAGCGCATGAATTAAAATCCGAAATTAATGCCTTTATCAATTGAGTGCTGGGGATCTAATGTCCCCAACAGATATCCCATCTCACAGAGACACACACAAATTCATTAATTTGTTTGTCCTAAAAATATGTAAGCGCCCCCTTTTTTTATCAATAATCATATATTTAAATAAAATAAATCAGTAAAAAACAATAATTTAAAATTTATTATCATTTTCCCTTGTTTTTTGGGGCAGAGTTTTGGAGGTTTGCGTTTTTACACATTTGAAATCATCAATCAATCATTGTTAGACCACCATTAGAAACATGCAACAAGCACTGGACGGCCGTTTCGTCCTGGTATGGGACTACTCATCAGCAGTGCGCATCCACGACTCCTGCTCCTCGCAGGATTCGAACCCGGGACCTTCGGCATTGTAGGCGAACGCCTTACCATCGGACCACTGGGCCGGCATCCAGTGGTGGTCTAACAATAATTGATTGATCATTTCAAATGTGTAAAAACGCAAACCTCCAAAACTCTGCCCCAAAAATATAGTAACAGTGCTCACTAGTGACTAGCTTCGTGAGGAAATTCTCGGAATTCTAGTTGAGAAGACGTGACCAATGGAGTTGAACTCTGTCGGGTTTAGTAGGCAGTAACTACCAAAGACAAATGGGTGAGGTCGCGCAAAATCCCTAGATCAATCAGAGTTAGACATTAACACCGTTTGATGCCGGTCCAGTGGTCCGACGGTTGGGCGTTCGCCTATAATGCCGAAGGTCCCGGGTTCGAATCTTGCGAGGTGCAGGAGTCGTGGATGCGCACTGCCACTAATGAGTAATCCCATACCAGGACGAAACGGCCGTCCAGTGCTTCTTGCAGGTTTCTAATGGTGGTCTAACAATGATTGATTGATGATTTCAAATTTTCCCTTGTGTTCATTGGTGTTTTTTCTTGTTTCTTCCTTGTTTTGTTTTTCACTAGTTTTATTCATTGATCATCATTCAATGTTCAATCCATTTAATTCATTCTTATTATTATCAATATCAACATCAACATCATCATCGTCATCTGTTCATGAACAATCTTTACCATCTGTACAAAAAATTAACATAAAAGAGTTAACTAATCAATTATCAGAAGAATTTCCTAATCAACATAAACGTTTATGGGCACAGATTCGTTCAGCTTTAGAATCATCATTTCAATATAAGTAAGTGAATATATTTTTTAGAAAAGTATTATACATTGGGTATATTTATGCAAATTATCGAAGAATCCTTGTATGCAATAGGATAGTGTTTGGCTGCACAAGTCCAAATAGCTGCTGCTCAAGTAATAATTCAAGTTTGGCAGGATCCATATTTACAAAATAACCGTCGCCAGTTGTAGAGTTCGTCACTTAGTATGCTTGAGGCTATTACGAGTTTACCTTAGTCGATAAACGCGAACGAGACAATGAACCAGCGTCCAGGTAGGCTACCTTGAATCCCAAGCTGTAAACAGAAGGCTTGGTAAGCGTAGAAAGTATATTCTACAAACACCCAGCAATCACAATACAATCAAGCATACAACTCTCGTTTATTTATACAACATAGAAACGTCCTCGAGACAGTTAAGAAAATAGCACACTAAAATACACAGCAGCCAATCACAGCCATGGATTTTCGTGGTGGGAAATGAAATCTTAAGGTCAACTGATCAGCCCATGCTCTCGTAAACGTCAAATCCAAAATAAGGCATTATCAAGCGAATTTTGGGGATCTAACATCCCCAACAGTTTTAGTTATGGGTATGGGGTGGCTATACTGCAAGCCTTCGAGCCAAAAGTCTAATCCATAAGGTAGTGATTGGATGGACGTGAGATGGTGGAAAAAATCTGTAGCTCAAGTGAATGATTGTTGTGGTGATGTTTCGTTCTGTGAGCTGAATGTTTCAAGTTGTGGAGCTTTTATTGTTCTTCTTCTGAACAATCAAAACAAAGGTGCAAACAACGACAGGTTTAAGGTCAACAGCAACCAAACATGATCGAGGTTAACAGAACAAGCTACAGGTCAAATGTGGCGAAATTCGAATACTTCACTTCTCTACCTGAAATTTGTGCTGATGAATAATGAAAGCTCCACAACCAAAACATCTAGCTCAGAGAACGAAACACCACTGTAATGGATGAACGTTGATAGATACAGTTGTATGATAACTGATAACCAACTATAGGTTCATGCGCTATTAGTTGTGTCAGGATCGTCGAGTTCATGAGTATCATTCTTTTGGAATGAGGGTTTTTCAACTACCCTAAATGGATTCACCTAAGTAGATCCTACCAACCAGATTCATTACACACACGAAAAAATGGTCGGAGTAATTGGATGGAATAAAATATCCCTAACTCAACTCTCATATGTTCGGAAAATGTAAATTTCACTATTGAGAAAAATAATCACCACCCGACATGAGAAGACAAAGGGTAATAATGTAGTGAACGAGAACACAGGTGCGTCAACCGGACTGTATTTAGCGAAAATTACAGAGTTACTCAGTAAAATCGGAAAACCATATCGTAAATCGTTCATTTGCAAATTATCAGTTCGTCATATCGAACTGGACTGTTCCTGTTGCAAAACATCAATCCATTGTCACTATTCATGCGTTTCATACAAATTCCCAACTCTTCCTTTCTTGATCTTCTCCCATCTTCTGCTGCCATACATTACGTTGACACTCACGTCATATACTACTTATAAGTAGCTCACACCATAATAAGAGTGTTTAAGCCTATTTGTATTAAACTAGGCTGTATCTCTTGCTATATCCTATGCCATACTATGTATATACCATAAGCTGTATTGAAATATAGAGCTGAAGGTTTCATATGAGACCATTGCTTTGGCAAGTATTGTTAACTGTCCATATACAAATTTGGTTTACAGGGTGACCGATTTCATTGATAGTACTGTTGGTTGCTTTGCAACATTCCTAAGGGCCATTGTCATTGGGACGCGCTGTATTGCTGCATATCACCGTTGCTAATAATAGTAATAATGAGTTTGACAGTCATATAAGTGGGATTTGTCAAATTGGCCTGTTCCTGTTGGTGCATATTGATTGACGACGCGATCATGGATCGGAAATAATCACTACTTATGTACTGGTGTATATAAATGATATGAATGGTCCACTAGGGTGTCAGATACCTATATGGTGGTTGCATCACAGGATTGAGCTAAACTCTTTACGTTGCTTCAGTGTTAGCACGTGGGCATTCTCTTTGGTTCGCATGAAAACCAATGTAAAATTACCTTAACCTAAGTGATGGTGAAGTTGTAGATTCTCATAAAAGTAGGTGTTACTTAAGTGTTCATTATTCAGTCATCATGTAATTCACCATGTACAAGTTTCTGTACTCAGATTCGATCACACTGTTAGTGGGAAATAGATGGATTAAAGCATGACTGCGCTAGCTGCGCGCTGATTGGCTAATTTCATATCCAATCAACGCCTGGCCTATACTTGGAGAACAGGCTAGAAAATTCTCGCGTTGTTAGCTGCATGCTGATTGGCTAAATCTAATCCGGTCAATGCTAGTCAATCACGTGAATCACATTCCAGAAGCTTCTTATGTGAAAACTATAAGGACACTAACGTTGTATCTATTTTTGCCTTCGCCTTCGGCTTCGTATTTCCATTTAACCTTGCTATTTTCCTGTTCATCCGTGTTTTTGATTCTTTGGAACTTGTCCGGGCTATTATGGTTAGAGAATACTAAGCAATAGGAATTAACTGGGAATTATATAAGCGAGCGTTACAATACACACACATTGGTCGAGTTAACTAGGTGTTATTATTCGTTTCGAACCAATAACTCTTTCTTGTTAGAAACCGTGGTATTCAGTCAACTTATCTTTAAAACACGGCCTATTGCGTGAATAGTTATGGGTATTTTGTTCTCTGAGCTAGATATTCAGGGTGTGAAGCTTTCATTGTTCTTCTGAGCACAACGACATCATCAGCATAAACTTCAGATAGGAGAAGTGAAGTATTCGAATTTCTTCTCACGTGTATGACCCGTCACTTGTTATGTTCACCTCGATCTTGATTGATTGCTGTTGACCTTAAACCTGTTGTTGTTTGCACCCTTGTTTTGATTGTATCCTCCTTTTGATCTGTTTATGTGATCTTATGTCGCCTATGACTTATCTGACTGGTAGATAAATTGAGTCAATGTCGATGTGTTTGTTCATTGCTTATTGACCTGTGCGCCAAGCTTCTACAAATTTTCTCCATCATCTCATAGTTATGCGTAATTTTTGGAAATATCCTCGCTGATCAATTAAGTTTCTAGGTGTACTGTGGACCCATCCTATTTCAAATTTGTAAGCTGAATGTACCTGCATACTACGGTTAACATTTACTCTGAGATTCGAACCCCAGTACTAATAAATTGGAACCCTTAATGAGGTTATTCACCGAGTTGCGGAGTGAACGTCAACTCTGTGATGTAGAAGTGTTACGCATGCACGTAAACATGTCAATTTGATATGTTTGAACTATTACGAGTTTACCTTAGTCAGAAAGCGAGTGTCCCGAGTGTCCCAACCCCCATTGAATAAAAGAAGAAGACTCGATATGAACTAGAACCTGTATTCTACATGCACCCGGAAAGTATGAGGTTCGAGTCCAGAATAAGAGAATCAGGATCCTGGATTGGGGGTCCGGGTCCGGGTCATAAAACGTTACAGATAATGCTTATTTATACAATTAGGTCGAATAGGAAACAATATTGAAGTATGTGTCATTGACAATTAGGACGACCAATAGGAGACAACACTGAAGCACGTGACCATAGTATTGACCAATAGGAATCGACCAATAGAATTTACACTTACAAACTAATTCTTTGTAGGATATATTTAGTGAATATCCTAACAAGAGGTATATTTAACTGACGAGCTGCAAACAAACCGAAACACATGACATGGATTCTCCTTGTTTTAGCCACCATCTATACAAATAAATACTTTTAACTTCTTGGCTACATTGTGGCAATCCGTAGAGGAGAATGACTGTTTTGCCGGAAAAGCGACATTGATCCATTTCTGTTGTCAAACGCTTCATACAAAAAAATCAATAAATTACGTGTATTGTGTTTTTCTTTCATTGTATAAGATATACAAATCATCAACAGCATACAATGAGCCAAAGAATTCCTCCTGTAGTTCTACTACTAGTCAATCGTTATATACATTCAATAGTCAATAATCAATCGAATCAACCATATTCAACATTATTGAATCAAAATAATCAGAATCATAATAATGATAAATCGTCATCGTCATCATCATTTCATTGTTTTATTTCACGTCTAAGTGAATTATTAGTGAATAGTGAATATTTGTCAAATTTTAAAAATTCATGTTCTATTCTGGAAGCTTATCATCAATTCAGTGATGTGAATAAACAAGAGGTCAGTGTTTGTGTGTGTGTGAGTGTGTGTGTTTGTCTTATTATTATGTAACTCACTTTGCCATTGATTGTACTTTTATTTATTTAAACAATAAGTTTGTTTTATTACGAGTTCACCTCTCAGTCGATAAAACGCGAACGAGACAATGAACCAGAGTCCAGATAGGCGGCTACCTTGAATCCCAAGCTGTAAAACAGAAGTCTTGATATAGCGTAGAAAGTATATTCTACATGCTAGGAAAAAACACATCCGTCCAGTGCTTCCCGGTTTCCCACCCACCATAGAACTGCATCTCGTAACGTTGTCCTGCCTTATGGATTAGACCATTGCGTCAAAAGTTAGTGGAGTAAACCTCTAGAAAAATTATCTGCTTCAATTTTAACGCATAGGTTGCGTTATGTTCATCACTAGGTACGCTTGAAGCTATATTACGAGTTCACCTTAGTCGATAAACTCGAACGACACAATGAACCAGCGTCCAGGTAGGCGGCTACCTTGAATCCCAAAACTGCAAAACAGAAGTCTTGATATAGCGTAGAAAGTATATTCTACAAACACCCAGCAGTCACAGTACAGTACAATCAAGCACATACAACTCTCGTTTATTTATACATCATAGTGACGTCCTTGAGACAGTTAAGAAAATAGCACACTAAAATACACAGTAGCCAATCATAGCCATGGATTTTCCTGGTGAGAAATGAAATCTCAAGGTCAGCTGATCAACCCATGCTCTCGTAAACGTGAAATCCAACATAAGGCATTTATCAAGCGAGTCCTGGGGATCTAACGCTCCCAACAAAGTTATGTTAATATTCTTATTTTCTTTTTGAAGGGTTGTGGAGACTGGTTTATTATAGTGGCTGGGTTGAATTCGAAGTAGGATTGCTCAACAGTTTTTATTGGCCAGCGTGCAATCAAATGTGCTTTGAAATTGTTGAGGATGTTAGATCCCCCTAGAGAAAATCCACTTAGAAAAGGTCCTAATTTTTGGAATTTTTTTGCTGAAATTTTAAAATTTCTATGTTTTTGAGCCAGAGATGTTAAGTTGACCTTTAGCTTACATTTCTCACTCAGAAAATCCTGAAGCAACATTCTGCATTTTGAGGCGGGGGGAATCACATTCCGAACATGCCTACATTGTTGCTTAGGGTGGTTAGAAGACAGCATTTTTCAGCATCTTCACCAAGCAGAACTATGTCATTGGCATATTATCTCGCGGTAAAAGTTCAACTTCTGAAAAATTAGATGAAAGTGTTGTCTCTAAAACCCATTGCCTATGTCAAAGTTAAAGAAGAATGGAGGAAGCGAACAACCGTGACGGACACTAAGTAATCAATTCACCATAAGCCGTAACTCGACCATTAGTGTTCGAGTAGGAAACTTGCATAAAGTTTATGTGCTTCTCTGGTACACCTTTAAGTGACAGACAGAGCCACAGAACCTCATGATTGACAGAGTCAAGTGCCGCCTTAAGGTTGAGAAATAGTACTATTGTGAGACGTCTGAGAGTGTATCTATGTTCTAGGACCTGACATAGTGTGAATATTTTGTCTATACACCCACGTCCAGGTCGAAAAGCAGCCTGGTTTTCTCTAGTCTGCTTTTCATAAGCTTCTGTTAAGCGTCAGAGTATTATTGAGGCCAATATTTTAATCACTATATTAGTTAAACTGATTCCCTTGTGATTGTCACAAGAGGACTTTTGTCCTTTTTTACAAACGGGAACAATCAGGCATTGAGACCAGTCAGATGGGGTTGCGTCCAGTCAAGCTGAGTAGTTGCTAGTAGTAGCCATGTATAGTAAAAGTCAGAGCAGTTTACGTTAAGCTGAACCATCTTTAGTGCCTTCATGATGTTAGTCGTCTGTCTATAAAATGTCGGGTCTTCAATGCGTTGGTAAGAGCTGCTTTGCTGCACACTTGTGAAACCTGACTTCATAGTTAAGAATGTTAAGCAACTTTCTGTATATTTGATTATCATAATCTTCGAAGGATTGATGATATTATGTAGTGGCAGCACAATGTTAGTAATGATGAGGTTCGGAAACGTTTGTTTGGGCACAGCAACGAATAATTCAGTTGGTGTCATTATTTTAAAGTACTAACTTCGATGGCTTGGACATACCGTACGAATGTCGTCCCAGAGAACTTCACACCGTGCATTATTTGCCAACCGTGTGACAGATTGTAAAAAGCCGAGAGGTTGGAGTTAGCGACATAGACAATGTTGAGTGCTGAATCAGTATTCTAAAGGTCAGGGTTCGATTCCCGCTCGCGGGGTTGTAGATGTACACTGCTTAGTCTCGTACTTGGACAGCACAGTCGTCCATTACTTCCTGAGAGAGGTCTAACACAGTGATCAATGCACGATTCCAATGTCCAATCGCAACACCCACCTATTTCCTAATAGTTTCTGTTACGCCTGCACACAAACACGTCAACTTGATATACTTGAACTGTTAAGAGTTTACCTAGTTGGAAAACGAGAGCGAGGATCGAGGATCGAGGATCCAGCGACACGACATGCTACACAAATCCGATTATCTCAACCCCCCCCCATATTGAGTAAAACTAAGAAGACTTGAATGTCACGTACAATCTGTATTCTACAAGCATCCAGAAAGTACGAGGTCCGAGTCCAGAAGAGAATCAGGATCTCGGACTAGGGATCCAGGACCGGATCCTAGTCCTGGTCATAAAATGTTACAGATAATGCGTATTTATGCATTTTGGTCGAATAAGAAACAGCATCGAATTCTGTGACATTGACAGTTAAGACTACCAATGGGAAGCAACTTTTGAAGTGACATTGATAGTCAGGACAACCAATACGAAACAATATTGGAGCATGTGACATTGATATCTACTAGGACGACCATAAAATTGACCAGTGGTAATTAACCAATAGGAATTGATCAATAATTCTCTTAGGATATTGGAAATGTTCTCTCATTCTCCCCTTCCTTCCTTCCTTTTCTATCTTTCTTCTAGTTAAATCAAATGAAATTGGATTTTGATAGTCAATTTGAAGAATTATACAAATCTGGTGTACGGTGTTATCAATTCAGCGCTATAGATTTATTGCCAGCTAATATTGTCTTGTTATTTCATGGTTATACTGATACAGAGAATTCATTGTATTCCAATTCAATTTTATTGATTAGTTTATCGAAACAATTTGATGTATCGTAAGTGTTGTTGACGATTATTTATGTTAAAGTCACATTGTTAGTTTGATTTATTCAAAGGATTCATTGTCTGTTTATGATTGATGAGGCTACCCCCGCCCCCCACACACACACACGATTACGCAAGAAACATTGTAGCTGAAAGTTGAATAAATAAATTTGTACTAATACAATGAAATCATTAAACCAATCATTGTTTGACCAGCACCATTAGAAACCTGGAAGCACTGGACGACCGTTTCGTCCTGGTATGGGGGACTCATCAGCCGGCTCAGTGGTCCAGAGATTAGGCGTTCGCGCGCAAGACCGAAGGTCACGGGTTAGAATCCTGCGAGGTGCAGGAGTCGCGGATGCTTACGGCTACTGATTAGTCCCATAGCAGGATGAAACAGCCGTTCAGTGCTTCTAGGTTTTCAATGGTGCTGGTCTAACAATGATTGATTGATTGATGGTTTCAATGTCTAATTACCGATTCATTGCTATTTCAGTAAAATTCAACAATCTTCACAACTGTATAATGAAAATTATAAAAATGTGCTCATTAGTGTTTAGTTTCTTGACGAGGTTTCCCCGAGTTCCAGTGAAAAGTTTCGACCGGTGGAGTTTAACCCTGTCAAGTGTAGGCAGTCACCTACCTACTGAAAACAATCCTTCGGACTGATCAAAGTTTGATATTAAAACCACTGGATGCCGGCTCAGTGGGTCTAGAGGTTAGGCGTTTTCACACGAGACTGAATCGTTTGTATTCGATCCCCGCAAGCAGAGATCGCGGATGCACACTGCTGATGCGTTCGATATTAGGACGAGACAATCGTCTAGCGCTTCTGAGCTTCTGAACGTGGCCTGTTAACAACCGATTCATGATTTCTAGTTGTTATTAAGTTAAGTATTTGTCATGTCATTCAAAAGTCATAAATTATGATGACCTGTGATAATGATGTTGATGAGGCTGATTGTGAATGTGTGCATGCAATTGTTGATGGCACCAAGCATAGTACTGTAGCCCACTGCACCCCATAAATCTGTAATTAATACAAACTGTTACGAATACACGTCATTTGATATGTTTAAACTATTACGAGTTTACCTTAGTCGGTAGACGAGAGCGAGGATTGATGATCCGGCGACACGACAGGCTAGTCTAATCCGAGCGTCCCAAACCCCCATTGATTAGAAGAAGAAGACTTGATATGAAGTAGAACATGTATTCTACAAGCATCCAGAAAGTACGAGGTCCGAGTCCAGAAGAGAATCGAGATCTCGGACTGAGGATATTAGTCTGGGTCCGGGTTATAAAGCGTTACAGATAATGCGTATTTATACATTTTAGTCGAATAAGAAACATCATAGAAGTGTTTGACATTGACAGAAATGGCGACCGATAGGAGAAGAACATTTGAAATAACATTGATAGTCAGAACGACCAATGTGAAATAACATTGAATTACGTGACATTGATATCTACTAGGACGACCATAATATTGACCAATAGGAATCGACCAATAGAATTTACACTTACAAAATAATTCTTTGTAGGATATTTAGTGAAGAATATCCTAACACAAACTAAACAGAAAAACAAACTAATCTTTATAAACTCCTTTCAGTCATACTTTCGATGTTGCATTAAATTATTGCGGAGATCAATTTTACTTTCAAATATAGAAATCATAAATGAATCATTATTGTTAGATCACTATTAGAAACCTAGAAAAAAGCATTCGATGTGTGTTTCGTCTTAGTATATAGGACTTATCAGCAGCAGTGTACATCCACAACACCTACTACTCTCCGGAATCGAACCCAGGACATATTCGATGTTGAGCGCGCCGACGCCTAACCATTGAGCTCACGGTATCCAACCAACAATGTTAATATCTAACTTTGATCAATTCACAGTTTTTGTGCAACTTCATCTATTTGTAGTCGGTAGTTACTGCCCATATACAGACAGACAGACAGACAAACAAATACAACACACAACTTCGTACATAAGTACATCAGTTCAGGTTTGCATGCCCCATCAGCACAGAGACGCAACTGTCAATTCAAATCCAAGAGTGATAGCAATAATAGAAGTATTAGCAGTCAGTAATGGAGAAGATTAGGGAGCGAAGATATGATTCGAGAAGTATAATTCAGTGAGATAAATTTAGAAGGAGAAAGGTAGAGATTATGAGGAATTCAGAAGGTAAGAATTAGAGAGAACACAAAGAGTGGATACATCTGCGCCATCGCAAACGATTCTGAGCCATGTCATTCAAAGTCTCTAACCATTGGTGGTGACTTTCGTCTCGCGGACCCCAACCAGGTAACAACCTACATCACCTACTAACATGACTCAGTTCACTTGTCAATGACTTCATGGATTTGTGCCAATTTTTTGGTTTGGCCGCCCCAATAGCTTTCTTCCGATCTACTCCAAAACACTGCAAAACATCACTCGTCGCGGCAGACGGTGGTTAGCCATACGTACGACTCCAAAGTCTAACAATCATTGATTGATTGATTGATTCATGGATTTCAATGAATACTTTCATCATTGTTATTATTATTACCCTTCTCAATTATATTTCTCTTTTCATTATTTATTGATTATTTTTATTATAAGTGAATCACTGGATTGTACACAGACAAAAAAAAAATCATCATTATCATCTATGCTACCAGGTGATTGTAAATCAGTTAGTCAATTTGAACATCAAATCAATCGATTTCTACGTTCACAATGGAATAAATATTTAGGCAATGAAGAAGTCGATGCAATATTATCACGTTTAACTACAAATATTTTAATATTTCATACATATGATCATTTACAAAATAATTTCACTTGTCTATCATCAACATCCTCATCTTCATCCTCCTCCTCATCATCATCCTGACCATCGTGACCATCATCTAAGAAATTAGCCAATCTGTAATATGTGTATGTATATTTCTATTTTTGTATTCAATGAGATAATTAATTGAACATTTGTACTGAGAAGAAAATTGGATTCTTATTGATTTTTCTTGAGGACACTGGGGGTGGGTGCTAGCTACAGTGTTTCAAACAATGAGAGGATGATGGTAAAGCTTTGTCGAAATAAATTGATTGACTCTTTTATTTTGCGGCGAAATGAACTGTGATAGATTGTGGATGTGATTTTGGGAGGAAATTGTTGTAAACCCCCTTTCGCACCTCACGGGGTCTTGACATGCAAGCATCACAGCCGAAGCAAAGTGTATGTCACACACGCACTCACATGTGCTGGGGACGTTAAATCCCCAGAACTCACTTGGAAAAGGTCCTAATTTTGAGTTTTTTTGCTATTTCCGCGCATAAGTTGCTTAGTTGACATTGAGATTGCATTTCCCAGTCGGAAAATCCTTCACTGTCATTGGTTGGTATATTATTTTAGTATGCTATTTTTCGGGCTCTCCCAACGCGTTGCTATCGGTGGGTGAATAAACTCGATTTGTTTGCTTGTCAACTTCGTATTTTCTGGGTGCTTGTAGAATACACTTTTTACGGCTTATCAAGAGTTCTTCATATAGTTAGCCGAGCCGGGGACACACGGATTAGAATAGCCTCTCGTTAATCTTCGCTCCGTTTACTTACTAAGGTGAACTCGTAATAGCACTCAAGCATGTCAGTTGACCATTATATCAGTATGTTCGCCTTTTTGGTAAGGTAGATCAGACGATCACCATTACCCTATCGTTGTATGCTTCTTATATGTTACATGCAACCCATGCACTACTTAACATAAGGACTGGTAGTGATATTTGTCTAGTATATTGTATTCTTTTCTTATTTACAGACCTGTTTTTAGTTAGGTTTCGTCTTTTGACATAGGACAGGCTATCTAGCTTTCGTTCGTTTTTGCAATTCAGGGGTGTACCCTTTGAATATATACACCTACAGACATAAACTATACGAGCTGAGACTCATACAATTTATACATACATTTGCATACATAAGGAGGGAGCTCTGTATGATTTTAGAGTAATTCAAGTAATCCAATTTCGCGTAGAAGTTGATAATTTTGTTAGACAAGGCGAATAATGAACACTCTAGAATTACTGCACTACTTACTATTCAGTTCAAATAAAAAGCTTTTTAATAAAATTTGCAAACTCGAATAAAACAATGAACTAAAATATCTCAAGCGGCATAACGATGAATTCATTTCTCAGTCAGTCAGTCAGTTGCGACGTAGAACTTCGTACGTATGTACATACGTTCATGTTGCCATACCACATTATTAGCACAGAGACGCAAATGTCAAGTCAAATCCCGTAGTGATAAAGATAGTAGAGGTATTAATGGTAATGAAGAAGAATAAGGTTCGAAGATATTATTCAAGAAGTATAATTCAGTGAGATAAGGTTAGATAGACAAAGGTAGAGGTGCTGACGAATTCAGAAGATTAGGATTTGAGAGAGCTCAAACAATTAATGCAAACGATTTTGAGCCATGTCGTTCAAGGTCTCTAACCACTGGTGACTTTCGTCTCGCGGACTCCATCCAGGTAGTCTACATCTACCAACATGACTCAGTCCACCAGTCAGTGACTTCATAGATTTCTATCATGTTTTGGTCTGGCCGCCGCTAGCTTTCTTCCCACCTATTCCTACACCACAAAACAGCTCGTCGAGGCAGTCGGTGGTTAGGCATACGTAACACATGTCACAACCACCTCAACTGATGAAGTTTCACCACTTCATCGATTGATCTGCCATCCTTACCCAGCACCCGTTTCCTAACGACAGCATTGCTCACTCGGTTGTCCCACGATATACGAGCAATGCTTCTTTAACATCTATGATCGAATACTAGTAACCTACGAACATCTACTCTTAACGGCCATGTTTCACAGCCAAATAGGAGAACGGAGCGAACTGCTGCGCAGTACACCCGCCCTTTGGTCGGTGAACGGATATCTCGTCTACACCATAAGTGACGCAGGTTGGCGAAAGCCAATCGAGTCTTCCGTATCCGAGCTGAGATTTCGTCAGTCACCAGGCTATCAGCGCTGATGAGACTCCCCAGATAAGTGAAGTGATCAACACGCTCGACGACTTCACTCCCTATCACTAGTTCAGGTGCCGATGCAACCCAATCTTGAAGCAACATTTTGCATTTCGAGGGGGAAAACCGCATCCCGAACTTGCTTGCATTGTTGCTTAGTGTAGTCAGAAGACTCTGCATTTTGTAAGCGTCTTCACCTATTTCTATATTGTGTAATCTCTGCTCAGTTGCTTGCAATCTTCAAAAAAAACAAAGTTATTCTGTTCATCTTTTATAACTAATTGAAACAAGTGTACGGCAGATAGTTTATTGTCGAAATTATCAAGCATAATCTCTGTTCAAATCTGAAGAGATTATAATCTCAAAGAATTTAAATTGTTCAAAATAATCTGCACTCATGCATAAAAGTTTTCTAGAAGAGCATTGAAACAAACATCACATTCTCGAAATAGAAATTAAGTAGAATAGTCAGGAAATAGGAATAAAGATATTAGAATTTTGATTAAATTTATCATGCAACCAAAAAGAAGCAGTCTGACGTAATGAACTTACAACTTATTTCATATGAATGATCTTGGGGACATTAGATCCCTAGAATTTCCTTGAAAAAAGTCTTAATTTTGAATTTTTATGTTATCGCGCATTAGCTGATCAGTTGATCTTGAGATCGTATTTCCCACTCGGATTGTCTTTGACTGTCATTGGTTGATGGATTATTTTAGTACGCTATATATTGTGGCTCTCCTAAGGACGTTTCTATCATGTATAAATAAACGCGATTAGTGTGCCTGTGAGCTTCATATTTTCTGGGTGCCTTTAGAATACACTTCCTACGTCTTGTCAAGACTTTTTCCTCTACTTAGTGGGGCCTTGGGACGTTCGGGTTAGAGTAGTCTATCGTGTCACTGGATCATTTATCTTCACTTTCGTTTACCGACTAGAGGGAACTCGTAATAGTTTCAATCATATTAAATGATAAACTATGATTTTAGACAGACTGACAGAGAGATACAAGGCAGACCTTCGTACGTACGTACATCAGTTCATGTTGTCATGCCCTATCAGCGCAGAGACGCGACTGTCAGTTCAAATCCAACAGTGATAGCAATAATAGAAGTATTAGCAGTAATGGAGAAGATTAGGGAGCGAAGAAGTATTATTCAGTAAGATAAATTTAGAAGGAGAAAGGTAGAGTGAGGAATGATTTTAATTTGAAAGCAGCTGAGGGAAATACACAAAATCAATGAATTCATGTTGTACTGCTACAATATTATTTGTCAGAAAGCGAAACTCCATCACAGTTTGATGTTTCGATATTTTTTTTGAAAAGTTGATTGTCAATTTCCTTATCAACTTACATATAATTTTGTCAAAATGTAGCAGTAGTAGTAGTACTAATAGAGCGGGTAAGATTCTTCAATCCCTTACCAAATGCTTTCATATGACTTCACGTGTATAGCCATTGTCAAATAAACCTTTACTCACTCACTTCTCAAGTGTTGTTCATTTGGACCGGACGAACAGTGAATATTCGACCAGGTTTGCAAACACCATCAGACTATTACTACTACTTACTTACTAGTAACCACATCATAATTACCAATCACTAGATTTTATTTCATACAACAATGAAAGTTGAGAAATTCTTGATTCTACTACTTACAACAACAATATTCACCATTATCATAAAACTTCAGAAGTAATCTTAAAAAATTTACATGATCATGATTTATATTACTCATAAATAATAGCAGTAGTAACAATGAATCAAAACAAAAAAAAACAGAGAATCTAATTATAATATGAAGAATGAATGACAAGGCAAGAAAACTGAATAATCGTCGTGATGATGATGATGAAAATTATAATAATAATAATAATAATAATAATGTGAGTTGGAAAAGAAAGTAAAAACAAACAAACATCATAATAATAATCATAATTCATAGTGTATCCACAAAACCTGTTGTGGAGAAAGAAATAAAAATCTCACAAAACATCATGACTGAATGATGATATGAATTAAAAAAATGGCGCCAAAAGGGAAGGATGAAAATTAAAACAACAAAAAACATCAACCATTCATAGTTTTTAAAGGCAACACCAAGTCGAAGTGTGTATGTTCAATTTGTACGCCATTATTATTACTATTCATTGTTCAATGTAAATATAAATAGATAAATAAATCTGTTTTTACTGTGAAAAAAACACACACAATATTGAGAAATAGCTTACATTCTTCAAGTGATCAATGATCAATAATAACAAATACACAGTGAGTGAAAGAGAGACATAAGAAATTGTGCTGTTTGTTACATTTGACATTGTTTAAAATAAGCCAATACATGTAAAAGATTTCTTTAAAATATATAAAGTGTACATATGTATTGATTTTAATTAGTTGATTACCGGTTTGAATAAGAGAGCAGTTTTAATTTTTTTTTGAGAGAGAGAGTGAGAGAGCAGAAAAGACAATGATTTCTATTGGTTTAGAGAATTATTTATAAATAAATAAGGGATTAATATGTGTATAAAAAAAGGAACAGCACGAAGTTTTCACTTACTGATAGAAAACAGAAAACAAAAAGTATTCTTGTTTGTTTAAAAAAAAAAAAGCGATAAAAATTAAAAACCCCGATGGAAATGAACTCACACTATTCATCATTGCTTTGAATTATACAAAAAAAAATATCTTACAGAGATGATAATCACCGTCATCATCATCATCATCATCGATGTTATCATCTAACATATATCTGAAATAATAAGTTTTAAATAAATTGTTTTTTATTTCTAATGAATAAATCTAATCATTATCAATATTATTGAACAATAACGAATAAACAACACGGTAGCGTACAATATTCTTTCTTTTTGTTCAATGTTCAAATCGATTGATCATTTTTAACCGGTACTCTTGTTTTTTTTTAGATGACATGATTATTAATAATTTTCTTTTTTTTTAAGAAAAAAAATTGTCATTTACATAATCTGTTGAATAATTTTAGGCAAAAAAAACACACACACGGGGTATAATATATAACCTATACATGGGTTTGTTTGTTTAAATCGATGCGACGAGGCGGCAAATTTAAGATAAAATGAAAAAAAAAACGAAAGAACAGTGAGAAGCAAAACCGATTGATTACACAGTTAAAATACAAATAACCTCAATTCGAATGCATATTATGTGTGTGTGGTGTGTAATATAGCAGCAACATTTACATATATTAGACAGACAAGCAATGATGAATATATATATATATATAGGATGTATTATGAATAAAAGATCATTTTAAATTTGGCGCTTCGTTTTTTTTTACATTCATCAAGTAGTGTTAGTTTATTCTTTTTTCCAAAAACTGTGCACAAGATATTTTTTCAAAGTCAATTCAATTAGTTTGAATAAAAAAGTAAGTAAGTAAGTAAGTAAGTACACACAACAAATAGCTGACAAGAAGATTGAAAAAAACCACCTAGCATCATGATTGAAGAAAAATTAGTTTAAACAAATAAGTTTTTTTCTTTTGTGGCAACAAAAAATAACAAGATAGCTTGGTGCTGGATGTCCAAAACAACAAAAATAGAGCAGATAGATAGATATATATAACAGTGTGTGTGTATGTGTTTGAGTGTGTAGGTAATGCTGTTTGTGCTCCAACGGGTTAATAACAACGCTGGCTATTGATCTAGAATGGGTCGAGAATTATTTGACAAGAAGTAATTACAAAGAGAAAATAAACCTCATTTTTACAATCAATCTGTTGCATAATCTAAACACACGTAAATCGAGAGGTGAAAAGAAAATATCAGACAACTGTGGTGGGAAGGGGTGAGGAGAGGAAGAAGATTGCCTACCATTGAAAGAAACTGTTAATCTCCAACTCTATCTATCTACACTACAACAGTTGAATAAGTGAATAAAAAAACTGAACAAATAATATGAAAATAAACTTAGGACAATGGGGAAAAAGAACAATTTCTGAGCGCGGGCGTTGGGGGGTTGGAAATATAACCCCCCAAAAAAAATTTCACAGGATAGAAATATAATTTATCTCGGTTAAAATCTTGTTTTTTTCTGTTTTTAAGAGTTTCTTTCGAATAAAAGTAACAAAGAATTCTGATGGAAATATTTTTCTCTTTTTGAGAAATTTTTTATAAATATCACAAATAAATCACATTGAAATGTAGTGGTCTTTTTATTGCTTATTTTAGAATTATACTACTGATATCTGTAAAGAGTAGTAACGGATAATTGATTTAAAAAAACAAAATCGCATAATTTAAATCTGTCGAGTTGTTGATGAGATTTTTTTCTCACTATGTGTTTTCATATGAGCATTACGTGATTTAATTTTATTGAATATTTTTCCACATATACGACATGTATAAATGGATCGATTTGTAGAATTCGATGTGACAGTGGATGGGGATACATTATTAGACAAACAATTTGTAGAGTGGACAGTAGCACCAGCAGCAGTAGAATGAGTTGATAACGCTGATGATGATGTTGGTGAAGAGGAGGAGGAGAACAGCGATGGCGGCGGTGGCGTAGGCGGCGACGACGATGATGAGTGATGTGAATATGATAAGTCGGCAGTATTATTCGATAGTGTAACAATAGAATGAACATCACGTCGATTGATTGTAGTAGTAGTTAATTGTGGCAACAATGATTTATTGGGTTTTGTCTAATAAATGGGGAAAGACTGTTTGAAAATTAAGTAAATATTAAAATAAATCAAAATAGATCAGTGCATAAACATGTTTTTTATAAAGCGGAAAACTAAACAAATGAACTAGTTAAACGCATTGAATATAAAAATGTGATGATAGACTGTATGTGTATTTTCGATGTAAAATAGTGTATGTTGTGGTTGTGGAGATTGTTGAGTTACTCTACTAAAATGTTTGACTACTAGTATTGAAAGAAATCTAGAAACACTGAAAGACGGCTGTTTCGTCCTGGTAAGGGGGACTACTTCGTCAGTGACAGCAAGCATCCACGATTCCCGCTATTACCATGACTCAAAGCCAGGACCTTCGGTCATGTATGTGAATGCCTAACTCCTAACAGTGTTACTGTCTAACTTTGATTAATGCAAAGTCTTGCGCGGTCTTGTTACGTAATTCATGGAAGGAAACGGTGATATAACTCATTGGTTTTAATAAAATTTATGTATTGAAAATGTTGCAGTTACTCACTTATCACATTGTTCAGCTAACAGTGTTCTTTGGAATGACATATTTTGTAGAGATTACGATACCTTAGAAAAAAAAATCTTCATCCTGAGCTTGTGTGTGAACTTGTAACATTAAACTTTAAATATTAAGTTGATTATAACTCTAAAAAGGAGAATAAGTCAATAGCAATGTCTCAGATAATGAGGACGGGTGAATGTAGGTTTGCATCGGACAAGAAACATGAGTTCTATGAGGACTGTCGGTACGACTAACAAGAAATCCTAGGCTTAAGATTCATTTCTTCGCTAATAATCACTCCTTACAGATCTAAACTGTTCTTGCATCAAAGATAATTACTCATCCGGCAACCACTAACAATCATAAAATCACTGAAAAAAATTTTTAGTTGAAAGTTATGTACAACCAGCCAGCCTGGTACAGACCGGCAATCAGAAGTTTCCAAAATGGATGACTTGATGACCAATAGAAATATCCTAAATAACAGATTTATAATTGTTGAAAACGTTAGATCCCTAGAACTCGCCTAATAAATGCCTTATTTTGGATTTCACATTAGCAAGCATGGGTTGATTAGTTGACCTTGAGAGTTCATTTCCCACCAGGAAAATCCATGGCTGTGATTAGCTGTTGTGGAATTTAGTGTGCTATTTTTGTGGCTGTCCCAAGGACGTTACTATGATGTATAAATAAACGAAATTTGTGTGCTTGATTGCATAGTGTTTGCTAGGGTGTTTGTAGAATATACTTTCTACGCTATATCGAGACTTCTCTTTAGCCATTTCAGATCAGGGTAGCCTAACTGGACGCTGGTTGATTATCTCGTTCGAGTTTATCAACAAAGGTAAACCCGTAATAGTTTCAAGCATACTTAGTGACGAACCTAACAGAAACTAAAAACTGAAGTTTGAACTAAAACACGCATTTTATTGCTGTGAAAATTATTGAGTTTCATTAAATTTATATAATTGATCATTGTTAGACCACCACATTAGAAGAATCCTGGAAACATTGGACGATTGTTTTGTCCAAACATTAGACTCCTGAATGGCGATGCCCATCTAGGACTCCAGTCCGTTAGAGTCGATCTCTTGAGTGCGTGAAAATGCTTAACGTCTCTTGTAGACCACTCACTGAGCTGAAGGATTCAACAGTGTTAGGGTTATGTCCAACACTTCACCTGATGAATCCTGCAAGCGCCTGCTGTGAATGCACACTGATGAGTCCCACACTAGGACGAAACGATGCTTCCAGGTTTGCAATATATTGTTTTCTAACACTGACCACCCAATTTATGATTTCAATGAAATTGTGGTGTGTGCTACTTGTACGTACGATATAAGCAGTATAAGAAAGAAGAAGTCTCACGGTCAGAAGAGGAAAACGGAAAGCAAATGGAGCAAAAGCAAGAAGTGAATGGAGTACCAACAGGAATGGAAGAAGTATGGAGTGTTGGAAGTCACGACTCAAAGATGGTGTGCAAATAGAGTATTCAATGTAATGTTTTCGTTTTCGTCTGGTTGGGCAATTCCTCTTCCAATGCCCGGTTCCTCCGCAAATATAGCATTTATTATTTCTTCCACCCTTTATTCGTAACGCTGCCACATCGCGTAGTAGCTCTTCTTCTTCTGCAGTGCGTCCTGCCTATCCGCCGGGCTGTCGAACTCCACCATCAGCCTTTTCGTCACCACCACTCAGTCAGCGTCCTCCACACCATCGTACAGCGCTCTCGCCCTGCCCACATAGTAGAGTCCCCAACACCACCAACTTCGTCCTCTGCTCCTTGACTCCTACAAGCTCCGCCACGGCTTCGAACTCCTTCAAGAAGCTCCTTACCTCTCCGTCTTCAAACTCCCGAGGCCATGGGATCTTCATCCTGTGTAGAGGCAGCAACACCAATTGAGAAGACCGAGGCAGGCGCGGAAGATTGTATTATGCAAATTTACACTGTGGGTCAATTAAAAACGAAAACATTACATTGAATACTCTATTTGCACACCATCTTTGAGTCGTGACTTCCAACACTCCATCCTTCTTCCATTCCTGTTGTTGCTTCCTTTCCTTCCTGTTGGTACTCCATTTACTTCTTGTTTTTGCACCATTTGATTTCCGTTTTCCTCTTCTGACCATGAGACTTCTTCTTCTTTCACGTCCCTTCTTATACTACTTATATCGTTCGTATAAGTAGCACACCACAACAATAATAATAATCACAAATAATAAAGTATTTCATACTACTTACTTCATTAAAAACAATATCCATGAAATCATCATAAGAATTTTCCAATGAATTGTTATTACTATTATTATTATTTACAATCGTTTCATCGTTAGTATTCATTATACTACTGATAGTAGTGCAAGTAGTAGTAGTCGCAAACTGATGATCTGACGAGGATGATACTGATGATGATGGCGGCACCGTCGGCGGAGGCGGTGGTTGGACACATACAGTTGTTTGTTGTTGTTGCGGGTGTTGTGGTGGTTGTGGGTGTTTACGACGTAAATTATAAGGCACATTATTATTACTACTACTAATATTATTATTATTAGTAGTAGTAGTAATAGTATTGTCTAATGTTTGTACTGAATTCAAATCTGTTGTACACGTATTTGATTGTTCCACTATGTCAAATTGTTCTGTTATAGATTCTTCTGCAATAATTGGTTCAATATGATTCAATGAACGTTGACGTCGTGCTTTTTCACGATACCTTACAAGTTAGACAAACAAAAAAGAAATTCGTGAAAAGATGTATAGTAGTAATGTGTTGTTTTATACGTTCTTTAAACTGTTTCATAGTTCAAATCTTCAGTTTAATAACAAATAACTTACTTACTTAATTACTTACTTACTTACATCTCTTACCCACATCGGTGTATAGGCTGCTGACCAGCATTCTCCAACCTACACTGTCCTGGGACTTCAGTTATAGTTCTGTACAGTTGTTGTTCATTCTTCTCTTGTCTGTCTCAAATGATCGGCGTAATGTGTCCATTGGTCATCCTCTTTTCTTCTGACCTTCAGGATTCCAAGTGAGGAGTTGTGTTGTGACGCAGTTCGGTGCTTTCCGCAATGTCTGTCCTATGCACAACCAGCGCTTCTTTCTGATTTCTTCCTCAGCTGGAATCTGGTTTGTTATCTCCCACAATAGATTGTTATTGATAGTGTCTGGCCAACGAATCCGAAGTATTTTGCATAGACAACTGTTAATGAACACTTGTATCTTCCGTATGATGGCTTTGGTAGTTCTCTGATTTTCAACTCCTTACAGTAGAACTGTCTTGACGTTCGTACAGAAAATTACGTTTTTCGGTGTTGGCTAAAAATGGTTTTCAGTTTCATACGTTCTTTAATTGCCGAAACGCTGGTCTTGCTTTGCTGATCCGCATCTTTACATATGCATTCGATCCACCATGTTCATCAATGATGCTGTCAAGATATGTGTACAGGGTTTTGACATTTTTTTCAAAGTTTTCTTCGTCAAGTGTGATTTGTTTGGGTTAGGTTTTGTTACATCAAAGGATGGTGCTTTTTTGCTTGTGTCTGCTGAGACCTACTGTTGCAGAGGCTGCTACTACACTGGCTGTCTTCTTCGGTTTTTTGTTATTTTCATAAATAGAGAATACCTCAGTCAATGGTTTGAAATTCAAGTCAAGATTCAGTCAGTAAGCAACATTGTTGAACTTCGTACGTACTTATTAGCGGTATTGTAGAAGATTAGGGTTCTAAGATATCCAGTGGTTTTAAGCCATGTCGTCGAAGGTCTCTAACCATCGATTACCAGCATCTCGCGGATCCCAACCAGGTAGTAGTCTACACACCTAACAACATGGCTCAGTCCACTTGTCAGTGACTTCATAGGTTTGTGTCATGTTTTGGTATGGCTTCCCCTAACTTTCTTCCAACTTACTCATACACCACAAAACATCACTCATTGTGCAGTCAGTGGTTAAGCAAAAGTAACACATTTCCTAACCAAATTCACTGATCAAGACCTACTACTTCATTTATTGACCTGCCATCCTTACCTAACACTTATTTCCTAACAACCACATTGACTCAATCCACTTGTCAGTGACTTCATGGATTTCTGTCATGTTTTTGGTTTGGCCGCCCCTAACTTTCTTCCGACCTAATCCTGCACCACAAAACATAACTCATCAAGGTAGTCGGTGGTTAGGCAGACGTAACACATATCCTAACCACCTTTCAATTGACGCAGATTCATGACTTGATTAATCGATTTTTAAAAAATCAATAAATTCACAACTGTACTTTGTACAATTGAGTTTTATTGCTAATAGTGATCATAATAATCATAATTAGGAAATAACATTGAGATTACTATTCACACTACTGATATAAATATATTGCGTAATTATGCGTAAACACATCATGTGCTTGTGCTTTTCGTAATATTACAATGTTAAATAAACAACGCATTATGTTAATTGCTTTTATTGATTCGCATTCAAATCACGAATAAATCTGATATGCTTGAATGGCTAACTAGATCAAGAAGTCTTGATAAGGCATAGAGAATGTATTCTACAAGCACCTAGAAAATACGAGGTTGCTAAGCACACAAATCAGGCTTAGTTATTCAATGATAGAAACGTCCTTGGAAATGTAACCTGAAGGTCAACTAGGCGTCTTATGTGCAAAAACATGAAAAACAATCCAAAATTAGGACCTTTTCCAAGTGAGTTCTGGGGGATCTAACGTCCCAAACACTCCTACGCTTTTTAATTGCGTACGTTCCTGGGGTCAACTTGCATCTTGACTGTTATTTGATGCTGTCGGAAAGGCCACCTTCTGGAACGCTGATCAGGTTGTTTTTGATCCTGCCGGTAAGTTGGAAGGATTTAACAGCATATCGAGGGGGAGATTTGCTGCTCTTGATGGGAGATCTGGGGTTAGCCGTTTGTGTATCTGATTCTGATGATGTGACCATCTATCGCCTCCTACCTCTACTTTGTACATAACACCCCCAACTCTTCTGACCACTCGCGCTTCTTTCTGTCCATGGACAGTGGGCCATGGGCAAACACAGGACATCTCAATTCGTTGGTGGATTGTCTTTCAGACTTTGTCTGCACTGGTGTTGATGCATTACTCTGATGCATCAGGCTGTAGATCGTTCTCAGCCTTCTTCCCATCAGAATTTCTGCTGAGGACTTTTGCTCTGGTAACGTCTCATTTGGTGTTGTTCGATAAACGTGCAAGAAATTTTATAACGCGTCAGTTGCTGTCCCCTTCCTTTTTGACTTAACCAATGATCTTTTTAACTTATCCACAAACCTTTCCACTTGCCCATTCGACTGCGGTTGGCATGGTGGCGACTTTTAGTGCTTGGTAACCAGCCATATAACAGGATATGACAGAAAGCTTGGAATTGGCTAGAGATAAATTGACAACCATTGTCAGATACAATTTCATCCGGTATGCCATTTCGGGAGGAAATTTCAGTAAGGAGCTGTGTTGTCTTAGTTGTCATTCGCGGCATTACAAGGTTGACTTCTGGCTATTTTGAGAGTGCGTCGATTACAACTAGATACATACTTCTATTGACCGGGCCCGCGAAGTAGACATGTATACTGGACCAAGGATGATCAGGTTGAGGCCATGAAACTGGCGGTATTTTAGCATTCACCATTGCCGCTTGCTGACACCGCATGCATTTTTCAACCAACTCAGTGATATGTTGATCAACAGTGGCCCGTATGCGTAACTCCTGGCTATGGATTGTATTTGTCTAACCCCCAAATGACCAAGATGAAACTTTTCAGCACTTTCGCTCGAAAGGATATTAGAGTAACATTAGGAACCTGAAATCACAGGACAGTCGTTTCGTCTTAGTACATGAGACTCATCAGTCGTGAGCACTCACGGCGCCAACTCGTTGAAATCGAAGGCAGAACAGTCGGTCTCTTATGAGAACGCTGGCTGGCTTACAACGGTGTTAATGTCTAACTCTGATCAATCTCGTGATTTTGCCCAGAAGCACCCACTGGTTATGAATGAAGGTCCTGGGTTCGAATCCCGTGCAAGTATCAAGAGTTTTGGATGTGCAGGACCACACCAAGACGAAACGGCTATCATCCAGTGCTTTAAGGTTTCTTTCTAATGAGGAGGTCAAACAATGATTGATTCATCTATTCATTGTGTAAAAACAATGTTCTCCTCCATAATTCGAAATGAAAATATTAATATTTTGGATTTTTAGACAAGAAAATTATTTCACGAAATTGATAAATAAATAATTTTATACAAATATTTGTTCAATCAATAAATAAATCATACTTAGTGTATTTGCTAAAATTCTAATTCATTTCCTGTGTAATAATATACATTATTCGTTTAAACTTGTTTTAATTTTTAAATGACGCGCTAATTGAAAAATCGAAATGTGTTCAATAAAACAAAACAGACAGATATACAATGTTCAATATCAATGAAAAGATATTAGAATTAGGATTGATGTGAAAACTACTTTGGTGAGTAGTGCCCATAGGTATATGTTGTATTATAAGCTTACTTAGGCTGTTGTTTACTCATACCATAATAAGTGTCATGTCGATCCCTTGTTCACACTAGTCAGTCAGTCAGTCAGTTGCAACGTAGAACTTTGTACGTATGTACATAAGTTCAGGTTGCCATACCACATTAGCATAGAGACACAAATGTCAATTCAAATCCTATAGTGATAAAGATAGTAGAGGTATTAATGGTAATGAAGAAGACTAGGGTTTGAAGATATTATTCAAGAAGTATAATTCATTGAGATGAGCTTAGAAAGACAAAGGTAGATGTGCTAACGAATCCAGAAGATTAGGATTTGAGAGAGCACAACGAATGGATGCACTTGAGCCATTGAAAACGATTTTGAGCGATGTCGTTCAAGGTCTCTAACCACTGGTGACTTTCGTCTAGCGGAACCCAACCAGGTAGTCTACATCGACCAACATGACTCAGTACACTTGTCAGTGACTTCATGGATTTCTGCCATGTTTTGGTCTGGCCGCCCCTAACTTTCTTCCAACCTACTCCTACACCACAAAACATAGCTCGTCGAGGTAGTCGGTGGTCAGGCATACGTAACACATGTCCCGACCACTACAACTGATGAAGTTTCACCACATCATCTATTGATCTGCCATCCGTACCTAGTACTCGTTTCCTAAAGACAGCATTGCTTACTCGTTTGTCGCGTAACAGCACACGAGACCAAATTGTTCCCACTAGCTACGACATAGTTTATGGTCTGTGTCAACCCGTACAACCAGATCACTAATAGAATCACTATCTAGATAGAATTCAGACGGTTCACAAAAACACACTGCCACATTGAACTCTACAATTCGCATCTAATCGATAGAACGGCGAAATTAGTCTAATCTCTCTTTCTGACCACTCACAGGGAGATTTAATCCATGCTACACAGAGAACACCACTACATGCAAGTTGAATGTATTGCAAGTTATTTCAGACAGACAGATACAACGCAGAACTTCGGATGTAAGTACGTCACAGTTCAGGTTGCCATGACCTATCAGCACAGAGATGCAACTGTCAGTTCAAATCCTAGAGTGATAGCAATAATAGAAGTATTAGCAGTCAGTAATGGAGAAGATTAGGGAGTGAAGATATGATTCGAGAAGTATAATTCAGTAAGATAAATTTGTAAAGAAAAAGGTAGAGATCACGAGGAATGCAGAAGCACACGAGATCAAATTGGTCAAAATCAAATCCTTCCTTCACCCCCTTAGTACCTCTCTCTTATCTCCATGACTAACTCTTCTCACGTTCATTTAATACACACTGCACAGCTAATGCAAACTATACGAGTTCACGAAACGTCGTTCCCGGTCTCCTTAAACCCCGTTCTAAACTACATGTTGGAGCATTTAATGTACGTACATTTTGTCATATAGGGCAACAGGCATCATTAGCTAGGACTTTAGAATCTCGTGCCGTCGATGTATGCTGCATCTCGGAAACGCGCATACAGGATCCGAGTAGCATCATTCACTTGACCTCACCATGTTGCAATTCAGAGTTCAACCAATGAGAGATAAAAAAAGGAAAAAAAATAATTATTATCTACACATACCATTTCACATCTGATGGTGTATTCATACGTTTCCAAACATAATAAAATTCTACACATGCTTTGACAGATTTATTCATTCCAATTGCTTGTAAATCTTTAGAAATTTGATGAAAATCTCTACCATACATAGAGAGACCTTGTTGAAAACGTACAATTTCTTCAGTTGTCCAAGCTGTAGTTTCTATAAAACAAATAAATATACACAGAGAGAGAGTTGAGTAGCAGACACTGGTTATCCGCCATACAAGCAATGCGAATGTATATCATGGATTAGTTGAAGTCCGATGTCGTCACTGTTTGGACGACGATTTAGTGATCTAAAGATGAATAGTTCTTATTTACTTACGTACTTACGCCTGTTACCGCCAATGGAGCATAGGCCGCTCACCAGTTTTCGCCAACCTACTCAGTCCTGTGCTTCCTTCTCCAGTTCTGTCCAATATTTGTTCATTCCTCTCATATCTTTCTCTATTTCTCGGCGTAGTGTGTTCTTTGGCCTTCCTCTTTTCCTTTTGCCTTGAGGGTTCCATGTGAGGGCTTGTCTCGTGACGCAATTAGGTGCTTTCCGCAATGTGTGTCCTATCTACTTCCATCGCTTCCTCCTGATTTCCTCCTCCACTGGAATCTGGTTTGTTTTCTCCCAACGAATCCGAAGTATTTTGTGTAGACAACTGTTAATAAACACTTGTATCTTCTGGATGATGGCTTTCGTAGTTCTCCAGGATTCCGCTCCATACAATAGAACTGTCTTCACATTTGTATTGAAAATCCTGATTTTGGTTTTCGTTGAAAGTTGTTTGGAGTTCCAGATATTTTTCAATTGTAGAAATGCAACCCTTGCTTTGTCAATCCGCGCCCTCACATCTGCATCGGATCCACCATGGTTGTCGATGATGCTGCCCAGATATGTAAAGGTGTTAATGTCCTCCAAAGCATCTCCATCAAGAGTGATTTGGTTGGTGCATGTTGTGTTGCATCGGAGAATTTCGCTTTTTCCTTTATGTATGTTGAGACCTACTGCTGCGTGAAAGTACATCTTAGGTTTAATTTGTTTGTGCAAACTCGTTGAGGTGCATTGCTCTGGAGTCTCATACTAGGGAAAAACATATCCGTCCAATGCTTCCATGTTTCCAGTGCTAGTCTAACTAAGATCAGTTCGTATTATTATCTTTATTGAAGCATGTAACTATTGATACAAAGAGGACCCTAAATATTTTTATGTTCCAAACCAAAGAAAGTAGGGAGTGTTCAGTGTTTTAATCAGGTTAGTATTTACGAACGATCTACAGCTAGGATAGTTGGAAAATGTTTTTTTTTTCTAAGTAAATGGTTAACATGTACTTCACGATCCTGATGAAACAAATAGTCTGTGTGAACCTAGAGTTGGTCAACATTGACCATGGGAACTGCATCGTGTAAAGTTGTCACGCCTTGAAAAATTAGACCATTGAGTCAAAATTTTGGGGAGTAAACCTCTAGGAAAATTATCTGCTTCAATTTTAACGCATAGGTTACGTTATGTTCGTCACTAGGTACGCTTGAAGCTATTACGACGAGTTCACCTTAGTCGATAAAACGCAAACATGACAATGAACCAGCGTCCAAGTAGGCTACCTTGAATCCCAAATCTGCAAAACAGAAGTCTTGATAAGCGTAGAAAGTATATTCTACAACACCCAGCAATCACAATACAATCAAGCACACAACTCTCGTTTATTTATACATCATAGAAACGTCCTTGGGACAGTCACAAAAACAGCACACTAAAATACACAGCAGCCAATCACAGACATGGATTTTCCTGGTAGGAAATGAAATCTCACAGTCAACTGATCGGCCCATGCTCGCAAACGTGAAATCCAAAATAAGGCATTTATCAAGCGAGTTCTGGGGATCTAACATCCCCAACAGGTTGTACCTTGACTCACTGAGAAATTCAATAATTTGTGTAGTTGCATTAAATTCATGAATCAATCAATGATAGACCACCATTAGAAACCTGCGAACACTAGACGGAGGTTTCGTCCTGGTATGGAGCTCATCAGTAGTACGCATCCGCGGCTCCCGTTACTCTGAGGATTTGGACCTTGCGCACGGTCTTATGCCAGAGCGCCTACCGCTTCAGAACCACTGAGCCAACACCTAACGGTATTATTGTTTAATTTCGATCGATCGAAGGCTTTCGCGTCTTCGGTGAGTACTGCTTATGAGTCCTATACCAGGACGAGACGACCATCCAGTACTTCCAAGTTTCTAATAGTAAACAATTTTTAGTGACCTGAGTTCAACTAGAAATAGGGATCATCACTTTGGTGGCTCAATGATATGACATCAAATCTAGACGAACCAATAAATCTTCCTTTCAAATTCTCGTAGAACGCATTTCGGAAAAAATCCGTTTGTGCAATACAATTAACAAAATGTCACATATATGAATTCTCATTTGGATTCTGTTTATCTTATGACAGATATGAGAATCGGAAGCGTACAAATTAAAACGAGGCGAAGTGGAAGAAAGCAAGTGAGGTGCGCTAACTCAATGCAACGAGACACTTGACTAAAATATTTAATAGTAGTCAAACAAGAATAAGCTAGTCCTATATGTGACAAAACTCCGCCAGTAGAACCTTCGGGGCTACTACTGCCGGTCCCAAGCCCGGATAAAAGATGAGGGGTTGGACATGGGGTTGGTGCCCCCATCCCAACTATAAATTAACTTGCCAAAAAAACGCTAACCAGAAAAAGTGCATTTGACAAACGAAGTAATCAATGCCCACACACATACATACGCACACTCCAATAAAACACAATCAAAGTTATCTAGAAGCGAATAGCTGATAAGATTGAAAGAATGGGACACACTCTATGGGCTTAATATATATATATATATATATATATATATATATATATATATATATAAGAGAATTATTGGTCAAATCCTATTGGTCGATTTTTATTGGTCAAAATTATGGTCGTTTTAACTGTCAAAGTCAAATAATCCAATGTTGTTTCTTATTGGTCATCTCGACTATCAATGTCACTTCAAATGTTACTTCCTATTGGTCGTCTTAACTGTCAATGACACAGACTTCGATGCTGTTTCCTATTCGACCAAAATGTATAAATACGCATTATTTGTAACGTTTTATGACCACGACCAGGACTCGGTCCCGGATCCCTAGTCCGGGATCCTGATTCGCTTCTGGACTCGGACCTCGTACTTTTTGGATGCTTGTAGAATACAGATTGTACTTCACATTCAAGTCTTCTTATTTTTACTCAATATGGGGGTTGGGATAATCTAATTTGAGTAGCATGTCGTGTCACCGGATCCTCGATCCTCACTCTCGTTTTTCCGACTAGGTAAACTCGTCATAGTTCAAGTATATCAAGTTGACGTGTTTACGTGCAGGCGTAACAGTTAGACCGTTGGATTCTGGCCGATTCAGTGTGATCTAGAGGCGTTAGGCGTTCGTGTGCAAGACCGAATAGTATGGGTTGGAATCATGCGAGGAGCAAGAGTCGTGGGTGCACACTGCCACTGATGAGCAATCCCATACCAAGGAGGACAAAAACTGTCATTGTCCAGTACTTCCATGTTTCTTTCCCAATGAACTAGTCTAACAAAATGATTCATTCATGATTTCAATGTGCGAAAACAAATCAAATGACAAAATACAAAAAATACTTCTTCAACTTACCAGCATATACATAATCATATACAATCAATGTATCATGTAACAAGGCATGCAATGTCATTTCTAAATCACCTTTATATTTACACAATAAATGAAAGGTATACTCCATATTTAAGCCACAATTACGTACAGCTGGTGAACAAGCGATTTTTGTCAGCAAATTCACTAAGTTTTAAATGAATTAAAAGAAACGAAAAAAATGAGAGAGAGAGACAGAAAACAAAATGAGCGGCGGGAAAAATCGATGCGCGTTTAAAACAAAACTAATAGCATGACATTGTATGGTGTGTGTGTATATGAGTGCGTGGATTGAGTTACTTACTGTCTAGGCAGCTTGGTGGGTCATTTTCCAAGCCTTTGACTAACAACAGATGTTTAATTCGTTGAGGTATGAGAGTAACATGCTAACTGGTGACTAATTAATGAAGAGGTTATGAAGTTCAAAGTTTAAACTATTCATTTGTTCGAATGTCAGGTTTTTCTAATACATTTTCTAGGTTAAGCGATCATCAGGTACCTTCTAATAACTACTTGCCAACTAAGGTGAAACCTCACAGCCGGGGATATGTACTTTGTGTCACCTTTGAATTTAACGAAGAACACCTATGCGACGGGGAGACAGTGAGTAGTAGTCCTCTGGCAGTCACCATACACGCATGGCTAAAGCATCCTTACTCTCTCGGTCGTACCTTAGCATTTGAAATATAATACAGTCAGAAGATATATATTACAAGATTCAGGCAGTTCTTCCGAAAATGTCTGTTTTAGTCCGAATAACTCAGTGTGAATATCTCAGACTATGAAACATGATGACGTGAGTTCGAATCGTGCTACAAGGTATCTTTATAGGTACTGCATGTTGGCGACTAATATAAAAAGTTTTTCATTTATACACTTCATGTTCACTTCATATTATTATTATTTACTATGAATAATGAATCATGAAAGTGTTAGGATATTCACCAAATATCCTAAGAATACTATTTTTAGAAGTACAATCCTATTGGTCGATTTCTATTGGCCGAAATTATGATCGTTCTTACCGTCAAGGTCAAATACTCCAATGTTGCCTCCTAATGGTCATCTGGACTGTCAATGTCATTCAAATGTTCTTTTCTATTGGTCATCCTAAATTGTCAATGTCACAGACGTTGATGCTTTTTCTTATTCGACCTTAGTGTATAAATACGCACTGTGTGAAAGACTTAATAATTCCGTTTCCCCTGCCTATCTCTTCTTCTGTATTCGACCCAATAAACAACTTCCACGGTGTCGCGTTCTGATATCTAGGAGATTTGGAAATAGCATTTTGGGTCGTAATGGGATATTTGAATTGGACGCTGTTAGGACTGAAGAGCTATACGTAGCAGCGTTACAACAGAAAGAGAAATGGATACTCCGCCTGCAACCCCTCTAGGGCTACTACCGGTCCTAAGTACAGGTAAAAGAATGGAGTTAGGCATGGGGTTAGCGACCACATTCCGTAGAAAACAAACTCGGTAGAAGACAACTCTAAACAGAACAAACAATTCAAATTAGTTAAACTCTGACCTGGAAGTTTAAAGGCCTTCATATAGAAAAGTCACGACATCTCATGATCAGAGATGAGTTTCTTCGGCAGTCACCAGGCCGATAGCCCCCCTACTGTTACAGACAACCAGTGCAACCATTATTTTAGGTATATACAAAGATTTTTAATTCTTGTGGCCTCATTTTCAAAGAATTATCCGTATACAATTCACAATCAATCCTCAGTGGCTACCTGAACTCATCAGATAAGTGGACAAAGTGACAGCTTTTGAAGAAAAAACAGTACTGGGCTCAAACACGGCCCCCAAGAGTGAACACTAACTCTATAGAGAATAGTGATAAAGTTCATAAGACATCCACAATGGTTCCGTTCCGCTGACTGCCAACGCTGTTGTCCGTAACTCTTGCAAGGGATCATCGAAACATGTGTGTCCTAGACAAATTATCCATCATCAAACGATTAATCAATGATCAATAGACAGTCTGTTGAACATCGTCGAATTCAAGGGTGACCAAAACCAGAATTTTTAATACAAATGTCAAGATAGTTCTATTTTATGGAGTAGAAAATTGGAGAACTACCAAAGCCATCATCCAGAAGATACAAATGTTCATTAACAGTTGTCTACGCAGAATACATCAGATCCGTTGGCCAGATACTATCAACAACAACCTACTGTAGGACAGAAAAAAACAGATTCTAGCAGAGAAATAAATCAGGAAGAAGCGATGGAAGTGGATAGGACACACACTGCACAAAGCACCCAACTGTATCACAAGACAAGTACTCGCTTCGAACCTTCAAAGACAACGGAAAAGAGGAACGCCAAAGAACACATTACACCGAGAAATGGAGACAGACATGAGAAGAATGAACGAAAATTGGACAGAACTGGAAATGAAAGCCCAGGACAGTTTAGACTGGAGTATACTGGTCGGCGGTCTGTGCTCCATTGAGAGTTACAGATGTAAGTAAGTAAGTAAGCAATGCTATCTGTCCCCTTTACAGTGTGTAAATCATAATATATATGACAAATTCTATACATTACAGTTTATTTATTGACAAGAAATAATGATGAACACGCTTAAACTTACATGATTCAATAATTTTCGGATCATTTTCATTTAGATTAGCTGGATACCATAATAAAGTTTCCCATCTTGAAGTGGATTCTTTTGTAATATCGGTGGTTATCACTTCTACGATTGGTGTTTGTTGTTTAGGTGTGCGTGTGTATCATAAGAACAACAGGAGAAGACGGTAGAGAAAGAAGTATGAGATTATTTAGACATTTGGACAATTTTATTCAATAAAGTGTAAAAATCAACCTTTTTTGCGGGAAATGCAACCTCAAGGTCAACTGATCAGCCCATGAATAAAATTCTAAATTAGGAAATTTTCCAAGTGAGTTCTGGTGATCTAAGGTTTCCATCGGATGTCTAGAAGTTGAGCGTTCATGCGAGAAAGACTGAAGATCATGGCTTCGAATACTGAGCGTAACAGGAATCGTATGAGTAGTACGCACTGCCACTAATTAGTAGTAGTCCCAGGATGAAATGGACGTCCAGTATAGGACTACTCATCATCAGTGCACATCCACGACTCCTGCACCTAACAGGATTTGAACTCATGACCTACGATCTTGCCATTAGATGCCGGCTTAGGGGCCTAGAGGTTACGCGTTCACGCACGAGACTGAAGGTCCTCGGTTCGAATGCTGTGAGGTGCAGAAGTCGCGCATACGCACTGCTGCTAAGTACTGTCATATCAGAACTTAACAACCGTCCAGTTCTTTCAGGTTTCTAATGGTAGTGGTCTAACTAAGATTGGTCGATTCATGATTTCAAAAATCAAATTGACATAAAATAAGTCACCTGCTTGAATAGTTTAGTTCACATTGGTCAATCATGAGAATAATTTCTCTAGTTCTTTTAAACAAAAAAAGTGTAACACAATAAATAATTATAATAATAATAATAAGAGCAAGAAAATCAATGGTGTTTTACCTTGACAAAAATCAGGAACTTCTGCTTGATAAGCATGACCAACATTGATATGTCTAGAAAATATATATACATATATATAAACAAAACAGACTACTTATATCACAAAAAAATAATTATTATATATAACACAGTGTTGTGAGGTTGAGAGATATTTTCTGGAGGTATCTTGATGACCAGTAAAGTCCAACCATATTGTGAGTGTATTCATCGGTGAACTAGTGATAGTTACTTATTTGTTTTGTTGGGAATTGAGGGTTAACGACCTCATCTTGTAAAAAGCCAACCAGTATTGAAATGCTGTTGTTAGGAAACGAGTACTAGGTCAATTGATGACTCAGTGAACCTTTATCAGTTGAAGTGGTTAGAAAATATGTTACGTATGCCTCGGTGAGCGATGATGCTTGGTGTAGGAGTAAGTTGGAAGAAAGCTAGGGACGCCCAAACCAAAACATGGAACAAATCCACTGACAGGTGGACTGAGTTATGTTGGTAAGTGTAGACTACTACCTGATTGGGGTCCACGAGATGATAGTAATCGATGGTTAGAGACTTTGAATGACGTGGCTCAAAATCGTTTACCACGGCGTAAAAATGCATCCATTCTTTATGTTCTCTCAAATTCCAATCTTTAGAATTCCCGAGGTTAGTTTTTTTCCCAACTTATTATAAAAGATAGATTCCTCTGAGATATACTCCTCAAATGGCATCTTCGATCACTAATCTTTTTGATTATCGCTGATACTTTCACTACCTCTTCTAGTATGTGGGAATCGAATTGAAAATGCAATCTCTTTGTGTGCTAATGTGATATGGCCACTTGAACACTGATGTACACGTGTGTACGTACAAAGTTCTACGTTTTAGTTGACTGACTTACTGACTACTGAGAAAATTAACTTGCGAAAAAAAACTAGCAGAAATCGCTAGTCGGCGACTTGTGCTCCACGAGGAGGAATAGGCGTAAGCAAGTAGGTGCAGTTCACCGTTTCAGAGTGCATTAAATGATTGAAGTTAGTGTTACGCCTGCACGTAAACATGTCAATTTGTTATGCTTAAACTATGACGAGTTTACCTAGTCGGAAAACGAGAGTGAGGGTCGAGGATTCGGCGACACGACATGCTACTCAAATCCGATTATCCCAACCTCTATTGAATAAAAGAAGAAGACTTGATATGAAGTAGAACCTGTATTCTACAAGCATCCAGAAAGAACGAGGTCCGAATCCAGAAGAGAATCAGGATCCCAGACTAGGGATCCGGGACCGAGCCCTGGTCCTGGTCGTGGTCATAAAACGTTACAGACAATGCGTATATATACATTTTGGTCAAATAGGAAACAGCATCGAAGTCTGTGGCATCGACAGTTAGGACGACCAATAGGAAGCAACATTTGAAGTGACATTGATAGTCAGGACAACCAATAAGAAACAACATTGGAGCACGTGACATTGATATCTACTAGGACGACCATAAAATTGACCAGTAGGAATTAACCAATAGGAATAGACCGATAATTCTCTTAGGATATTGGATGAATATCCTAACAGTTAGAAATTGAAATTCATGAATGCCGACTCATAAAGAGGTTTCAAATGCTCTCAAATAGCTTTCGATGAAATATGAAAGCTTTACACATTCAATCATCGAGGAGTTCCAGAATTCGCAGTCAGTCTCAGTTAGTCAGTTACAACGGGGAACTTCGTATGTACATACACCAGTTCAACTTAACATACCACATTATCACACAGAGATGCAATTGTTAGTTCAAATCCTATAGTAATAGAGGTAGGAAAACTATTAGCAGTAATCAGAGAGATTAGGGTTCGAAGATATTATTCAAGAAGTAGAATCTAGTGAAATAAATTTGAGAAGAAAGAAAGACAAAGGTAAAGAGGAATTCAAAAGATTAGAATTTGAGAGCAGAACACAAAGAATGAATATACATTTGCACTATTGTAAACGATTTTCAGCCATATCACTCCAAGTCTCTAACCAATCATCATTGAATGCTCAATAACACAGAGTCCCACACAAATAGAACAAACAGTCTGTTGAGTACTTTCTAGTTTTCATGATCTACGGTGGATCTGACAAGACTGGATATCACCAATCAGAATCACTGTGAGAATTCCACAACTAAGCTAGTTACTAACAAGCGAACCGCGTCATGTTGGTAGTTTTCGACTACATGGTTGAGGCCCGCGAGACGAAAGTCACCGATGGTCAGATAACCTGGAATAACATAGGTCAAAACCGCTAGCAGTGGCGCAGGTGCATTCATTCTGTGTGTTCTCTCAACATCTAACCTTCTGAATTCCTTATCAACTTTATCTTTTTAAGTCTATTTCACTGGATTCTACTTCTTGAATAATAATATCTTCGAACCCCAACCTTTTCAATTACTGCTATTACTTCTACTACGCATTTACCACTATGGGAGTTGAATTGACAATTGCGTCTCAGTACGAATGTGGTATGATAACTCGAAATGATATATGGACAGGTACAGGGTTCTAGGTTGTAACTGAATGACTAGTAACCTACGAATATTCTCTCTTCTTAGTAGTCATTTTTCACACCCCTAGATCAAGACGGAATGAACTTCTGCGCGATAAACTCATCGTTCGGTTAACTGACCTACGCTATAACTGACTCAGGTTGGTAACAGCCAATCGAGCCTTCTCCTATCTGTGCCCAGATTTTGTCACACACACACCGAGGCCCTCCAGACTGATAACACTTCCAAGATATATCTGAAGCTGTTACGCCAGCACGTAAACACGTCAACTTGATATACTTGAACTATTACGAGTTTACCTAGTCGGAAACGAGAGGGAGGATCGAGGATCTGGTGACACGACATGTTACTCAAATCCGATTATTACAACCCCCATATTGAGTAAAAATAAGAAGACTTGGTATGAAGTAGAACCTGTATTCTACAAGCATCCAAAAAGCACGAGGTCCGAGTGCAGAAGAGAATCAGGATCCCGGAATAGGGATCCGGGACCGGGTACTGGTCATGGTCATAAAACGTTACAGATAATGCGTATTTACACATTTCGGTCGAATAGGAAACAGCATTGAATTCTGTGTCATTGACAGTTAGGACGACCAATAGGAAGTAACATTTGAAGTGACATTGATAGTCGAGATGACCAATAAGAAACAACATTGAAGATATTTGACTTTGACAGTTATAACTACCATAATTTTGACCAATAGAAATCGACCAATAGGATTTGACCAATAATTCTCTTAGGATATTGGATGTGAATATCCTAACAGAAGCCCTCATCGATGATAACATAGTCAAATACCTCAATGATTACATTTTATTTACCTTGATTTAAAAAGAAAAAACGCAATCAGCACAAAATTACTTACGGAATAATACTAGTTGGAACACCTTCTTCGTCATCATCATCGTCATCATCATATTCTTCATCATCATCATCGTTCAAGTCATGGTCTTCAGTGAAGTCAACATTTTCATTCAATTGTAGCGTTGTTGTTGTTGTATCAGAATAATCCATTTGATTCGATTTAAATTCAAAATTAAAATTCAACAATTGTTCATCAGTGAAATTGAAACTTTGATTTGTTTTATTAAAAATCAATTGACTACTACTACTACTACTATCATTATTATTATCAGTAGTAGAGCTGTGATTATTGATAATTGGATCATTCGATCTACTGATGTCAGTATCACATCGACGACGTGTAGGATGATGCATTTCTTGTAAATGTTGTTTTTGTCGTTTTAATCGATATGCTTCATCAGCTTCAGCAAATCGACGCATGGTTTCATCATCATAACCGAATACGGTATCGGTGTTAGAAAAGTGTAGCTGTTGTTGTTGTTGTTGCTGATTCATTGTGAAGGATTCATTGTCTTGAAGTGAATCTTTTGACTGAAATCAGGGAGAGAGAGAGAGAGAGTAAAGAGAATGACAAAATAAGGTCAATCATGAATTGAAATTAGTTTTGAAAGAAAAAAATATATTTCCTCACGAGCTGATCATATAATCTAAAACTAAGTTAGTCAGAACTGGACAACCGTTTCTTCCAGATCTAGCACTCATCAGCAATGCGCATCCACGACTTCGAAGACAAGTGGGTGAGGTTGTGCAAACTTCCAAGAGTGATCAGAGTTAGGCATTAACACTATTGGATGCAAAGTCAGTGGTCCAGTGGTTAAGAGTTTCTAATGGTGTTCTAACATTGACTGATTCATGATTTCAATGTGTAAAAGAAATCATGAATGTAGATCTATGTTAAGATCATCGTTGAAAACCTAGAAGCAGTGGATTAACGTTTCGTCCTAATGCGTGTGATTCATACTCACTCATCAGCAATGAACGACAAAGAAAGACCGGAATCGACCGCAAGACAGGAATTTGAAAGATTATTCTATTCAAAACTCTCGAGGATGCCCCTAAACATACAATATGGGTCAATGTAACCAAATAAGTTAGCTTTGTCACTTGTGCTGGATGTTGGGTTCACCATTTCTGTGGTGCATTTTGGCTCACTATTTCTGTAGCAGTCGGTGCTCGATATAAATACCTAAACTTCGTATGCTGCTCGCCTTGATAACCGTTACTCGATAATGTCCAACAGTGTATACAATTAAGAAAACAGTCAGTCAGTTTGTCAGTTACAGCGTAGGTTCCATACCACATCAACACAGAGACGCAACTGTCAGTTCAAGTCCAAGAGTGATAGTGATAGTAGAATTATTAGCAGCAATGGAGAAGATCAGGGAGCAAAGATATGATTCGAAAAGCATAATTCAGTGAGATAAATTTAGAAGGATAAAGATAGAGATTACGAGGAATTCACAAGGTTAGAATTAAAAAGCACACAAAGAGTGGATGCACCTACGCCATCGCAAACGATTCTGAGCCATGGCGTTCAAGGTCTCTAACGATTGGTGACTATCGTCTCGCGGACCCCAACCACGTAGCCTACATCTACTAACATGACCGAGTCCACTTGTCAGTGACTTCATGGATTTCTGCCATGTTTTGGTCTGACCGCCCCTAACTTTCTTCCAACCTACTCCTACACCACAAAACATAGCTCGTCGAGGCAGTAGGTGTTTAGGCATACGTAATACATGTCCCAACCACCTCAACTGATGAAGCTTCAATACTTCATCTATTGACCTACCACCTTCACCTAGTACTCGTTTCCTAACGACAGCATTGCTTACTGCGATGTCGCAGGATACATGAACCATGCTTCTAAGACATCTATGATCAAATACTAGTAACCTACGAATATATATTCTTACCGGCCATGTTTCACAACCATATAGGAGAACGGATCGAACTGCTGCACAGTACACTCATCCTTTAGTCACCACACAGATATCTCGCCTGCGCCATAAGTGATGCAGGTTGGCAAAAGTCTATCGAGCCTTCTGTATCCGTGCTAAGATTTCGCCAGTCACCAAGCCATCAGCACTGATGAGACTCTCAAGGTAAGTGAAGTGGATTACACGTTCAGCTGCTTCACTCCCTGTCACTACTTCAGGTACCGATGTAACCCAATCTTGAAGCAACATTTTGCATTTGAAAGGGAGAAAACCGTAACCCGAGTACGCTTGCACTGTTGCTTAGGGTGGTCAAAAGACTGCATTTTGTCAGCGTCTTCAATAAATAGAACTATGTCATCGGCATATTCTAAGTCAATAAGCGAGCCTCTTGGTTGAAGGTCTACTCCTGAAAATTCAAACGAAGATAACGTTATATCTAGGAACATGTCTATGACAGCCCTGACGTGCACCACTTGATGTAGAGAATTCCGGTGACAGTTCGAGTAGGGAGCTTGTTTAAGGTTGACGTACTTCTTTGGTACACCTTTTAAAGGCAGACACTGCCGCAGAACCTCACGATCCACAGAGTCAAATGCCGCCTTAAAGTCCAGGAAGACAACTATTGTAGGACGCCTAAATGTGTGTCTGTGTTCCAGGACCTGTCGTACAGTGAAAATGTGGTCTATATATATATATATATATATATATATATATATATATATTGGTAGGTGTAGACTACGTGGTTGGGGTCCGCAAGACAATATTAGTCGATGGCCAGAAGTCTTGAATGACATGACTCGAAACCGTTAGCTAAGGTGCAGATTTATTCATTCTATGGTTTCGCTCAAATCCTTACGCTCTGGACTCTTCATCAGCTCTATCTTTCTTGAATAATAATATCTTCGAAACTTGATCTCTCCTGTTACTGCTAATATTTCTACTAGCTCTACTACCATGGGGGATTTGAATTAAAAATTTCCTCTCTGTGTACGTAAATACGTACGTTCGAAGTTCTAGATTGTTACTGATCGACTGACTGACTGATCAACTCGTATAAATGACAATAATAATAATCATTGTATTCTTTTCCTTGGTACAATCCCTGGAGTTCTTTCTCTCTTATGACAAAGACAGTAGAATATGTATGAGTTAGTTGACCACTACTATTACTATTACTATTACCACTACTATATAGACACTTCGAGAGATGATTTCGCACAGTATTACGCATATTGATTCAAGTCAGACATGTATATATATATATAAATATTTATACTCTACGTGGTAGAGGTGTCTGTGTCTGTGTGTTTGTGTGTTCAAACAACTCGAAACGGACAGACATACATGCCATTCAAAAGAACAAGTGAGATATAGTTGAGATAGTGAGAAATTTTTAACAAAATCGGTAATAATCAGTAGAGAAAATCAATTGATAGATAGATAGATAGATAAATAGATAGATAGATAACTAAACAGTAGATATCGTTGTAGACAAACATTAAGCGACATGCTGAAATGAGTGAGGAGAAGCGTAAATATAAACAAGCAAACATTGATAATTGAATAATGTTAAATTAATCGAAAACTCATATTATTTCTTGTATCCTTTTTCACTGATTGTATAAGAACGATCAGTGTATGTATGTATGAAGTGTTTGTATGTGGGTGTGTGGGTGCGTGAGTGTGTGTGTGTATTCACGATACGGTTGAGTACTTTTATGGTTGTTTTAGTTGCATAAATCAATACTGCTCAATTAAATAATGAACCATTGGAAAATTGGAAAATGAATAACCACTACCATGTTGAATGTGTGAATTCTTAGGAATTAATTAATTGATCTTTGTGAAATGATATTTGAAAAGATTCAAGTATTCATTAACAGCTGCCTACGTGAAAAAATATTTCAGACCAATTAGCCAGACAGTAATCATTATCAACAACAACCTGCTGTGAAACAGTACAATTCATATCCTAGCACAGGAAGATAAGCTGGAAGTGAATAGGACACACATTGTGGAAATCGCCCAATTGCATCACAAGACAAGTCCTCACTTAGAATCTTCAAGGTCAAAGTTCAGGTTGCCATAACATATCAGCACAGAGACGTAATGGTCAGTTTGAATCCTATAGTAGTAGAGGTAGTAGAAGTATGAGCAGAAATCGGAGAAGATTAGGGTTCAAAGATATTATTCAAGAAGTACAGTTCAGTGAGATAACTTTAAAAAGAGAAAGATAGAGATGATAAGGAATTCAGAAGGTTGGAGTGGAGTCCACTAAATGTATATCAATCAGGTAGAGAGCAGTCAGTCAGATGCTATTGTCAATTCAAATCCCTTTAGTAGTAGAGCTAGTAATGTAGGAGATTAGGGCTTGAATCTAGTGATTTGAGACGAGAAAGATGAAGGTCATGAGGAGTTTAGATTAGAATTTAAGAGAACACAAACAGTGGATGCACCTGCGCCATTACAAACGATTTTCAGCCATGTCGTCTTCCATGGTCTCTAACCATCGGTTGCTATCATCTCGCAGACCCCAACCAGGTAGTAGTATACACCTACTAACATGACTCAGTGCAGTCAGTCAGATGCAACGTAGAACTTCGTACGTAAGTACATCAGTTCATGTTGCCATACCACATTAGCACAGAGATATAAATGTCAATTCAAATCCAATAGTAGAAGAGGTAGTAAAGGTATTAGAAGTATTCGGAGAGGTTAGAATTAGAAGATATTATTCAAGAAATATGATTCAGTGAGATAAGTTTAGAAAGACAAAACTAGGGGTGTTGAACAATTCAGAAGATTAGGATTTGAGAGAACACAAAGAATAAATTCACTGGCGCCATCGCATGTCATTCGGAGTCTCTAACCATCGATTATTATCATCTCGCGGACTCCAACCAGGTAGTCGACAACTACTAGCATGGCTCAGTCCACTTGTCAGTGACTTCATGGACGGCAGTCAGTTACTTTCCGCAGACAATCAGTGATAGTCGTACAGTATTGTGGATGGATTGACGTTATAAGATTGTAACATCACTTAATGGTCAAGAGTGCACAAGACTAAAAGTCCTAGTAAGTTCAATTCCCTGTTTACAGATGCCGTGGATGCGTACCAGCTGGAGTATGCAACAGTTGCTTACCCACTCTCAACACTGATTAATCATCATTATCAGCTCATAATTTCAATAGGAAACGAAAAAACAATAAAAAAAAACTCTTACCGTATTCTTAGTTGTACTAGAGTTTAAAATTAATACAGGAGCTGATTTCGGTGTAAGTTGTTGACGACGACGTCCAAAACGACGAGTAGTATAACCAGCTATGGGTCGATTTAAATCACGCATATACAAATCAGTGATTGAACCGGTGGTTGGATGTGTATTGTTCTGTTCATAATAATCATGATTACTATTAATGGTAAAAGTAGTATTGGTTGTTGTTGTATTGTTATAATCTATCATATTCATACTTTGATTGGAAATACTCATCTCACTGATAGTAGTACTATTAGCTTCACCACTGCTACTACTTGCATGACGTCGTTTCAATTGACTAACACCATTATTAATCCTTTGGCTAGTCGTTGTACTAGTAGGAAGTAGATTGGTCGTAAGTTCCGAGTCATCATTAAGGGCATTTGATGAATAATAACCAGTGAATCGACGATTCATCATCAACGATGCCCCACTGCCCATAGAACGTCCTCCTCCTCCACCTAATCCACCTGATGCCATTGTCGAATTCGGCACTAATCGTGATAATAATGACGAAAATAAACCGGAACCTTGACGATTTGGACTAAGCATTGGAGGTGGTGTATACGGTGGAGGACTAGAATTCAGTGAAGATCGTTTGGAACTCCATACACGTGGTGAACGTAGTCTGGACAAATTGGCACCGGTCTAAAATGGAGGAGCAGGAGAAGAAAAAATATATCACTTAGGTTCAATTATAAATGATCAGCATGAACTAAACTAAACAAACACTGTTTATTGATAAAATGTTCCGACCGTAGCTAACACTTCAGTCAATAGAGAGCGAGAGTGTGTATGAGAATAGACAACAGAAGACAATTCTACTAATAGTAATAAGAAGACATAACAACATTACTGCAAAACTAAGCGTCGATCAAAGGGCGAACAGTTTTGCGATGACTAATTCCTTGAAAATCATGAACCAATCAATGTTAGAGCATCATTAGTAGTATGGAACTCTTAAGTAGTGCATACCAAGGATCTCACATAAGGAAATTGAACATCTTATATGACAGAATGTGATGTGATGGTTCAATTGAAATCAATATTCGGAAAAAAGGAATGACAAATGATCAATCAGTCATTATTGAACAACCATGAGAAACCTGGAATCACTGGACAGCCGTTTCATCCTTGTGTAGGACTCATCAGTGACAATGCGCGTCCACGATTTCAAATGTGTAACTTAACAATCTTCACAACCACGTCATACAATTGCCTGTATTCACGAGTGACTAACTCCACGAGGAATCTTCTCCGAGCTCTAGTGGGAAGTCGTGACCATTGAAGTTCAACCTGTTCGGGTGTAGACAGTAACTAACGAGGACTGTGTAAGAGGTTGCACAGCTCCATGAACTGATCGAAGTTAGGACATTAACACCGTTAGATAGCGGCTCAGTGGTCCAGAGGAGGTAGGCGTTTGCGCGAAAGACCGAAGGTCCCAAGTTCGGATCCTGCGAAGTGCAGGAGTCGTGGATGCGCACTGCTGAGGGGTCCCATACCAGGACGAAACGGCCGTCCAGTGATTCCAGGTTCCTAATACTGGTCTAACAATGACTGATTGCAGAATAACGAATGCCTATGAGCTGTAATATGTGTGTATCTAACCAAGAGTATCCAACTTTCTTAAGCATATTGATTGAAGTTGTCTGATTGTCGATATAGAGAATTTACCACAGCACAGCTGAGGCACTCGAATTCCAGAACAAACAGTGCACCAAGGGCTCCAGGAAAAGCAATCTATTGTGAGTCGTCAGCTCTACCATGAGACTTCATCTTCATTAACTTAGGTATCAGATCTGTGGGTCACAAAGTGGTTATTAGATATGTTCCCTAAGAAATCGACCTCTTTAGGTTTTGGAAACCCAAAAGAATAAATATCTCAGTTGACACATAAATTCATTAACTTGTATAGCGCATAAATATTTAGGTGCACCTTTTTTATCAACGAACGGCAACACAGTGGCCAAAAAACACCACAGTCATCCCTGACGCGGGATCGTTAATATGTTGGGGATGTTAGATCCCTAAAACTCGCTTGATAAAAATGTCTTATTTTGGATTTCACATTTCCGAGCATGGACTGATCAGTCGACCTTGAGATTTCATTCCCCACCACGAAAATCCATGGCTGTGATTGGCTGCTGTGTACTTTTTAGTGTGCTATTTTCGAAACTGTCCCAAGGACGTTTCTATGAGGTATAAATAAACGAAAGTTGTGTATGCTTGATTGTATTGTGTGATTGCTAGGGTGTTTGTAGAATATACTTTCTACGCTATATCAAGCCTTTTGTTTTACAGTTTGGGATTCAAGGTAGCCGCCTATCTGGACGCTGATTAATTGTCTCGTTCGTGTTCTATCGACTAAGCTGAACTCGTCGTCATAGCTTCAAGCGTACTACTACCTAGTGATGAACATATCGAAATAAGCATCAGTGATAAGTTAAGACAAAAAAATATGTCCAATAACCTTCTGGTTATCTCCCCCCCCCCACTCTTTTAGTTAAAATCAGACAAGACAAAAATTAGTATGAAAAAAACTAAACCAACACTACCTACTTACACGCTTGAAATCATCAATCAATCAATCATTGTTAGACTGCTACCATTAGAAACCTGCAAGAAGCACTGAAAGACGGCCGTTTCGTCCTGGTATGGGATTACTCATTAGTGGCAGTGCGCATCCACGACTCCTGATGATTTCAAATGTGTAAAAACGCAAACCTCCAAAACTCTAACTGAAAATATCGTAACAGTGCTCACTATTGACTAGCTTCGTAAGGAAATTCTCGGAGTTCTAGTTGAGAAGACGTGACCAATGGAGTTCAACCCTGTCGGGTATAGGCAGTAACTACCAAAGACAAATGGGTGAGGTCGCGCAAAATCCACAGATCAATCAGAGTTAGACATTAACACCGTTGGATGCCGGCTCAGTGGTCCAGAGGAGGTAGGCGTTCGCCTACAATGCCAAAGGTCCCGGGTTCGAATCCTGCTGAGGTGCAGGAGTCGTGGATGCGCACTGCCACTGACGAGTCCCATACCAGGACGAAACGGCCGTCTTTCAGTGCTTCCAGGTTTCTAATGGTGTGGTCTAACAATGACTGATTGATTGATTGATTTCAAATGTGTAAAAACACAAACCTCCAAAACTGTGCCCCCCAAAAAACAAGAACTACCTACTTACTTGTGGAGGAATTGATATAGGCGCTGGTTTACTTTTCATTTTTTTCGGTGGTGGTAATGCCGTCGGATTACGGAATAAATTATCTTCAGCTAATGATTTAGATAATTTCATAGCAATTAAATCATTTTCTGAATTACGAATCGATTTATTATTATTAGTATTACTATGATTATGATTATCATGATTGGACATGATTGTCTGATTCATGCTTGTGCTCTTCATACTTTCACTATGATTATTATTATTATTATTATTATTATTATCATGATTGGTGTTTTGTGCCAGTAGTGATGGTGTGACAGTTAAATCCAACAATTCAAACTGATTCAAATTGGACAGTGAACAGGGGGGTGATGATGATGATGATGATGAAGTTATTGGACATTGTTGTACACTGCTGACAAGTGATTGTTGATGTTGTGCATCATTCGATTGCTGTTGATGTTGATGATGTTGATGTTGATGGTGATGGTGTGGTGGTAATTTTGACAACTGCTGTTGTTGTTGTTGTTGCTGTTCAATGTTCAATTCTTCAATATCCACAATTGTACGAAATGAATTTGTTAGTAGATTTGAATCAGTAAATGGAAAGAAAGTTGTTGTTGTTGTTGCTGTAGTTGTCGTGGTTGTTGTGGTTGTGGCTGCAGTTGCAGTTTCTTCTTGAGATAATGAAGGTGGTGGCAATGACAACGATAACAATGGTGGTGATGTGGCCGGTGAGAATGATGGTACTAGAAATGACGACGATGATGATGATGATGATGTTGACGACGATGGCGGCAGCGGCGGCGGCGGCGGAGGAAGTATGCCAGACATGTTGTTCATCATGTTTATCTGTCGATAATACAAACATTCAGCATCATCATCATCACCATCACCATCGCCAAGCATTGAGAATGTTTGATCCACAGTTGGAATGGTTGATTTTGTTGTCAATATGGCGGTTTGTTGTGGTTGTGGCTGTTGACGAGGATGGTGAGGATGATGATGAGGATGATGATGAAGGTGACGTTGTGATGATGGTGACGATACTAGTGGTGCTGTAGGAGTTAAAGATAATTCTGGTATTGTTGGACATGAATTATGCATATCACATGTAAGGGATGATAATCCGTCTGGATCAGTAATATGACTAAATAAACAGAAAAAAAGTGGAAAAAAGTAGTGCGTTGAGGATGATGATCTAATCAGTTGATGAAGGACTGAGAACAAAAATTATTATGTAACAAACGTATTGACTGCATACAAAGTTGTATGATGTTGACTACAACAAAGGTGTGACAACGATTCTGCTACATCGAAATAGTAGAGAGTCGTTTACAGCAAAAGCAAAACAAGAACCTCTGTCATACAATGTGCTCACTAGAAGTGACTAGCTCGGGGGTTTTAGTAAGAAGTTATGTGACTAGTGGCGTTCAACTCTGTCAAGAGTAGACAGTTACCTACCGAAGACATTATCACTGTTGAATGCCGGCCCTGAAGTCCATAGGTTGGGTGTTCGCAACACAAAACCGAAGGTCTCGTGTCCAAACCCTTGATGCGCACCACTGATGAGTGCCACATACCAGGACGAAACAGCTGTCCAACGGTTCCAGGTATGAATGAATGATTTGTTGTGATAGTGAGAAATTTATCGTTTCATCATGTCTTCAACTTTGAAATTGATGTGAAAAAATAGTAGTGCTTTAAGAGGGGTAGGTTATATGTTCAACCTAGACTGACATCGATTTTTATTAACAAAACAATCCGTTGAAATCGTGAATAGATCAATGTTAGACAACGAACATTCGTTTCGCCCTAGTATGCGACACAGTTGCAGTGCATATCCACGAGATTCGTACCCAAGACAATTGGTTTTGTACGCGAACGCTGAACCCTTAGACCATTTAGGCTTATAATGTCTTACTTCGATCAATTCACAACCTTGCGCAACCTTATCTACTGTAAGCATTGCTTCACAGCCGAACAGTGTTGAACACTCCATTAGTCATGACGTCTCACTAGACGTTGGAGAAATTTCTTCACGATTCATGTCACTAGTAAGCAAATGATAAGTGTCAATACATCTTCACAACCCTATCATGAAAACATCTCTTTAGGAAGGTGGTTTAGCTCTTGATTAATGACTTTGAGACTACACACCCACATGCACACACACACACGTACAAGTTAAGTTCAATTTACAATACAGAGTTTACTTTAGATTTAGAATTGAACAAACAAACAATTGAGGAGAACAGGGACACTAAAGAATGACAAAAACAACTACCATCATCACCTTTCCTCACTATCAATAAAATTGACAATCAGTTGGTTTGATTTTTGATTAAAAATGAAATGTGATTTCTCCTCTTTTTAATCAATTCAACAACAGTTGACTCCTTTCTACTTTATGATTGTGAAACATGGCCAGCAAGAGTTGAAGATATTCGTAGGTTTCTGGTTTCCAATCATATGAGTCTCCGAAGCATTGCTCGTATATCCTGGGACACCCGAGTGAGCAACGCTGTTATTAGGAAACGGGTGCTAGGTAACGATGGCAGATCAGTGTAGGAATAGGTTGGAAGAAAGTTAGGGGTGGCCAAATCAAAACATGACAGAAATCCATGAATTCATTGACGAGTGGACTGAGCCATGTCGGTAGTTGTCGACTACCTTGTTGGGATCCGCGAGATGATAATAATCGATGGTTAGATACCCTGAATGACATGGCTCAAAATCGTTTGCAATGGCACCGGTGCATTCATTCTTTGTGTTCTCTCAAATCTTAATCTTCTGGATTCTTCAACACCTCTAGTTTTGACTTTCTAAACTTTTCTCATTGAATTATACTTCGTGAATAATATCTTCTAATCCTAACCTCTCCGATTACTTCTAATACCTTTACTACCTCTTCTACTATTGGATTTGAATTGACATTTATATCTCTGTGCTAATGTGGTATGGCAACATGAACTGATGTACTTACGTACAAAGTTCTACGTTGCATCTGACTGACTGACTGCACTGAGTCATGTTAGTAGGTGTATACTACTACCTGGTTGGGGTCTGCGAGATGATAGCAACCGATGGTTAGAGACCATGGAAGACGACATGGCTGAAAATCGTTTGTAATGGCGCAGGTGCATCCACTGTTTGTGTTCTCTTAAATTCTAATCTAAACTCCTCATGACCTTCATCTTTCTCGTCTCAAATCACTAGATTCAAGCCCTAATCTCCTACATTACTAGCTCTACTACTAAAGGGATTTGAATTGACAATAGCATCGATGAGCTACCGTGGGTTTGGCAACTTGAAATGATGCTCTACGTTTTAACTGACTAACTAACTGACTGACTGACTGATTAACATGACGATAGAAAAAATGTTGAACAAAACTGATACTGTAAAATGAAAGATTATTCATTTTGTATTCGTAAATCAACCACATATACATAAATATATATATGTCAAGATTGTTCAGCAGAAAAAAATATCTATATACTGCACAAGTGAAGTGGCGGTTATGTTACCTTTTGCTAATTAACCGTTAACTATGCATGTCTATTACCTTAGTAGTAGTATTAGTAGTAGTGATAGTAGTAGATCAGGGCTACAACAAGTAGACAAGTATGAACTTGTACATGATATCGTGCAAACCAAAAAAAAATCACGATCATGTTTGGAATGCGTGTGTGTGTGTGTCTCTGTGTGTTTGCTTGTGTGTAACGACGAAATACAGAGTGAGTGAGTGACGGAGTGAGTGGATGAATGATCGGAGGAGAGAGAGAGAGAGTGAACAAGCGATTGAGTGAATGAGCGAACACATGAACAACAAAGAGCGAGATGATATTCTAATATCATCTCTTTTTTTTTTGTCAAAACAGATTTTGAAAAAATGTGTCATTTATGTGTATACATGTTTTACTTTTTTCGCCTCATGAAATATATATATATATATATATTCCGTCTGTATATGTAAAAAAAAAGGATTCTACTGTTCTCTCTTATTGTTTCGATTACAACCCAAATAAAGATATTGATTGAAACGATGAATTTTATCCTGGTTTTATGGTACAAGTCAACTGATCAACATATACACGCTTGTTCTCAACATGAACACTAATTTAGTCTGGTTGGGCATTTTGACGAGTGTATGAGGTCAGATGTGTCAATTCCCGACTGTTCACACGGTGACAGGGTACTTTTTGAGGGACTTCAAAAAAGAAGTTAGATAACAACTGTTGGTCTGAGAGACCTGGGAGAGGAAGGATCGACTACATGAGGCCGGTCACTCAAGGCCATTTTAAAGAATGTTTTAGAAGTGTTAGCTCCTTTCTTCAAACGGCCTTGCCACTGGAGAAGGAAATTCGTGATGTATGGTAAGATGTCACCTATTCTAACCCCTTCCTTCCTTGTGAGAAGGCAGCATCACTGCAGATGCTGGTTGTCCGTCGGGGAACAACTTACTGCGGTCACACGCCTCTACAGTCAACAGTACGACTTCTCACTCAAACCTTCAGTCTTACCGTTCTCCAATCGACCTGCTTGACATGGTAGGATCTAAAGGAACATATATTATAGCCATTATAAATCGGTTGAGTCATCATGACAAGTAAGCTCAACCACCACGTCAATGTAGTAGTAGCTAACGATGGTAAGAAACATGTCTGAAAATCGTTTGCAATAGCACAGGTTCATCCATTCTTTCGAGTATACTCTCAAATTCTAGTATTCTGAAATTCCTTATCACCAATATATTTCTCTTTTTAAGTTTACTTCACTAGATTCTACTTCTTGAATAATATCTTCTAACCCTAATCTCTCCGATTGCTGCTAATACTTTGACTACTATGGGATTTGAATTGACAACAGCGTCTCTGCGCTTATGTGGTATAGCAACTGAAGTACATAAGTACGTAAGTACGAAGTACTACGTTGTAGCTGACTGACTGATACTGCTAGCAGAGGTATTAGTAGTAGTAGTAGTGTGGTGTGAGCTACTTATAAGTAGTATACGACGTGGGAGACGGTCACCGGGCGGCTGATGATGGGGTTCGACAGCCCGGTGGACAGGGAGGAGTCGCCGCATAGGTTCCGGTTGGTGAGGCTGTCGGCTGATGGTGACCCGTTGGTGCTGGCTGTAGAGCTCACGATGTTGCTGCGCCGTGCGCTGCCGAGTATGGATGAGGAGTCGGAGGCACAGTGGTTGGTGTCGCAATTCATCGAGAGTGTGCCTGCCGCCGTGTCCCAGCAGCGGGGACTAGTAAACACTACACGTTGGATAGATGCCGTATCCATCCAGACCAGCAGGCAAGAACAATGACCGAAGTGGTAATCCGGCATATTGTAGCGTGTCACGGAATACGGAAGGTGATATTAACTGACCAGGGTCCCTGTTTTGAAAGACTACGATGACAGTAGTATTAGTATGTTCAAATTAAATCACTGTAATCATCAAAAAATCAACGAGTCACAATAACTTACAACAACAACAACAAAATCTACTACACTGAAAAGAAACCACCCCAGCCCCCCCCCCCCCCGCCAACCGACCAAAAAAACACCACTAACCTTTGCATTAACAAATCTGTCACAATATCACTTGATGGTTGCTGTTGTTGTTGAGGTTGTGGTTGCGGTGGTTGTAGTCGTGATTGCTGTTCATTCACGCCCAAATCTCGCCTGGAATCAACAATCCTACTTTTACAACAATAATCACGAATATGTTGACTATCTTTTGGATGTTCATGTTGATCATGTTGATGTTGATGATGACGATTGTAACATTCCGGTAGACAACAATCATAACAATACGATTTATTCATCATATGTAAAGCATGTTTATGATTATCCGATAGAGGAATTGATGTTTGTTGTAAATGAGTTGGATAAGCTAACGACAAAGACGAGGATAATGATGCTGACGATGATAGCGACGATGCTAACAACGATGATGATGATGGTTGTGCGGGGATCATTGTGACCACCGGTGCAGAAATATGTCGTTTACGTTCTGGTTCCACCAAGCATGGATACCAACAATGAGTTTTGGATGGAGGAACATCAGGAGCAGCAGGAGGTTGATGATGATGATGATGATGATGATGATGGTGTCGAGTGAATAAATCCCGTTGTTGTTGTTGGTGGTGTTGGTGTTCGTGAGGAGGAAACAGACGTTTATTATTATTACTGGTATTATCATATTGATGTGTACGTAACGAGTTAAATTGATTATGTAACAGAAAGTCTGGACCATTGAAAAATGAACGATTATCAATTCCATGTTCAGGATTCAATAGACAAGAGTTGGATGATGACGATGACGATTCTGTTGGATGCTGGTGATGCTGCTGAGGCTGGTGTTGCTGAAGAAGGACATGATTATGCTGATCATGATAACGTGGCAGAATAGAATGCAAATGTTCTTCTCCAATATTCAATGTTGATGATGTAGACAATGGTAAACGATTTTTATTGAATGGAAAACAAGTATTGACAGGAATTGACGATGAATAGAGATTACTACTAATACAACCATGAGTAGTAGTATTAGTGCTAGCGGTAGTAGTAGTAGTAGTAGTATTAAGTGAATGAATGAAATTTGAAGATGTTATTGCCACAGTTAATGGAGGTGTTGTTCTCGGTGTCATTAAATTATGACTACAACATGATGTTAATGTCCGATTTGGATTCCATAATGAAATACATGTGGAAGGCAGAAAAATATTACTACCACTACTACTACTACTCATATTATTATTAGTAGTAGTATTAGTACTGGTATTATTATGTTGTGTAAAAGAAGTTTGTATGGAATGACGCATAAAATCCATACTGTTTAATGAATTCAAACCAGGTTGACCATATGAATAATGAGAACAATTAGCTAACCATGGTTCTGTAGTTCGTCGACTATTTGTACCAGGATTATGAGTATCATTTCCGTCTTCATGATGTTGTTGTGGATGATGTCGACCAGGATAAAATGAAGATGAAAGCGATTGTGGAATGTCTACAATGAGAATGAAACAAAGTAAGAACAATCGATAGGATAGTTTTGTTTTTGAAGGTCACTGAGAAAAATGTACAGTTTTCGAATCATTGATATTAGCTTAAAGCAACACAAGGCAAAACAAGTTTTGGGAAATACAAAATGTTACATCCCGGTTGGCTTGCGGAAGCATTTGAACTTGAGAATGTGGACTGCTTCGCTTATTGTGAGGGGTTAGTGTCTGACAAAATCTTGGCACAGAGGGTATCTTATCTGTCAACAGTAGGACAATTTTACTTCTCAACAAGTCACTACGTCCTACTTTGTGGGTGTGTACTGCTGACATAGCCATCAAGTATTATGTTAGTTAAACAAATAAACATGGGTACAAAGAGTCACCTAAAACAAAGGATAGTTGATGTTTTTTAGGCTGTCACTCTACAAAATTATGAACCAGAAGTCTAAACCATAAGGTAACGACGTTAGGAAATGAGAGTCATATAGTGGCCGATATTCAACACATAAGTTCATATGTTGCATACTCGAGTAATCAGGTTAAAGTACCAGACATTCGGTTATCGTTCGTTTGCTTAACTTCATAAACAACACTTGTGCTACAAGAAGACACTTACTCAATAGGAGATCTTCCGTGTCAATGGTCAAAAATATATGGTCAAATGAGAACATTTCGTGAAATAGAGAGAGGGTTAGAGAGAAGACTCTCAGCCCTCCCAGCTGTACCACCAAGGGGAGGGGGTATTTTTGAGAGCTGATTAATTGCATCTTATATTACCTAAAGTGTCGTGCTTACATTCACATAGTCCTACTTGGTGAAGACGCTGACAAAATGCACAGTCTTCTGACTATCCTAAGCAACAATAAAGGGATGTTCGGGATGCGGTTTTCCCTCTCGAAATGCAAAATGTTGCTTCAAGACTGAGTTGCATCGGTACCTGAACTAGTGATAGGGAGTGAAGTGGTCGAACGTGTTGATCACTTCACTTATCTTGGGAGTCTCATCAGTGCCGATGGCCTGGTGACTAACGAAATCTCAGCTCGGATACAGAAGGCTCGATTGGCTTTTGCCAACTTGCGTCACTTATCCGTTTGCTGATTAAAGGACGAGTGTACTGCGCAGCAGTACGTTCGGTCCTACTATACGGATGCGAAGCATGGACGATGAGAGCAGAAGATATTCGTCGGTTATTGGTTTTCGATCATAGGTGTCTTCGAAGCATTGCTCGTATATCCTGGGACACCCGAGTGAGCAACGCTGTTATTGGGAAGCGGGTGCTAGGTGAGAATGGAAGATCAATAAATAGAGTAATGAAACTTCATCAGTTGAGGTGGTTGGGACAGGTGTTACGTATGCCTAACCACCAAATGCCTCGACGAGCTTTGTTTTGTAGTGTAGGAATAGGTTGGAAGAAAGTTAGGGGTGGCAAAATCAAAACATGGCAGAAATCCATGAAGTCATTGATGAGAGGACTGAGCCATGTCGGTAATTGTCGACTAACTGGTTGGTGTCCGCGAGATGATAATAATCAATGGTTAGAGACCTTGAATGACATGTCTCAAAGCCGTTTTCAGTGGCGTCGCTGCATTTATTCTTTGTGTTCTCTCAAATCCTAATCTTGTGGATTATTCAACCCCTCTAGTTTTGACTTTCTAAACTTTTCTCATTGAATCATACTTCTTGAATAAGATCTCCTAATCGTAACCTCTCCGATTACTTCTAAAACCTTTTTACTACCTCTACTACTATTGGATTTGAATTGACAATCGCATCTGTGTGTGCTGATGTGGTATGGCAATCTGAACTGATGTACTTACGTACGAAGTTCTACATTGCATCTGACTGACTGAATTATTATTGTTCTCGTTAGCGTTAGTTTCCTGGTGGATTCGGGATGCTAGCTTCCCACTCTCAACCCTCCTCCTTTATCCAAGCTTGAAACTAGCAAAGTATAACCACCTTAGAAGGACTTCAGGCTTGAGTTTCGTATTGATGTAATATGATAGTTTTCGGTTTTTTTATTTATATCAAATATTAAATATGGAACTGTGGTGAGCGCTACTTATAAGTAGTATATGACGTGAATGTCAACGTAATGTCTGGCAGCAGAAGATGAGGGAAGATCAAGAAAGGAAGAAGAGTGGGAACACAATGGAATTTGTATGAAACACATGAATAGTGAAATGTCAAACAATGGATTGATGATGGATTGAAGATTTGCAAATCAACCGTTTACGATATGGTTTTTACTATTTTACTGAGTAACTCTGTAATTTTCCTTAAATACAATTCGGTTGCCCTCACCTGTATTCTCCTTCACTACAGAACTACATAGATATATATATATCCAATGAATATTGATTTACATCGTGTTCACTTTGAATTAAACATATTTGACAATCATAATAATAATAATAATAATAATAATAATAATAATAATAATAATTGTTTTAATTAATGAACATTGAAAAAAATAAAGCGATACATTCAAAGTGATTGTTTTTGTTTGAATGAATCACTTGAAAATAATACATACAAATTGAATATTGAATTGTTTCGTTTGAATTTAATATACTAATGAGTATCATAACAGTGAAAAGTACTATACTACTGTTATTATGTGAAATTGATCAAAAGTAATCAAAGACACATGACTAAACATGACGTCATTCTCAAGAGAACAATAGAACATGATTCTGATTTTAAAAATGTATATTCACACACAGAAATACACAGAGATGATTCAGGACTGATTATTATCATGAATTGATCCTAGCTAGGAACTCATTAGCAAAGCGAATTCATGAGCTTGCACAAGGGAATCGAATTCAGATTGAATGAAGGTATACACTTCAATCAACTATGCCTGGAGCTCCTCTGGGGCTACTGACGATCCCAAGCTCAGAGGAAGGAGGAGGGTTAAGAGTGGAGGTAGCGACCTCATTCCGTAGAAAACTAACTCGCTAAAAAAACGTTGACCGTAAAAAATAATTCAAACCATAAACTTCTCGCATGGAACACCGAAGATCCTGTGTACGATTAGCACTACATAAAACTTCAGCATTTATATGTCTAACCGAAAAGTTGGTAGAATAGTGTTCGGAAATGCGGTCTCACGACTATAGACTCATCACAACATTTGTTCTTTCGTGATCTGATGAAGCCGATATACACTGTTAGTTCAAATTCAGCATTATCTAATTACCTCTAGATAGATTCTCCGTCCCAATCGAACACTCACTATTCGCGCTCTTGATTTTATCAATAATATCTAGGCCATCATGAGAAGGCAATCCATAGTAGGACTTCTCTAACAGTGACCTTACACAACTCTTCTTACTCTTGCCTGTACTATGCAATATTTAAAGACACATCAACTTAACTGTGTAATACACATCTGTTAATGTGAATTTTCCGATCAATAAACAAGTCAAATCAAAAAAGAAAGATTTAGTTTCAAAAACATTTCATCACTTGAAACATTGGAATCATGAATGAATCATTGTTATACTAACTCGTTAGGAACTTGGAAGCAATGGAAGACGGCGGTTTCGTCATAGGTATGGGACTCTTCATCAGGAGTGAGCATCCGCAACTCCGACCACTCTCAGAATCGGAACCCAGGAGCTTCGGTCTTGTGCGCGAATGCTGAACCTCTGGGCCGGCATCCAACAACGGTGTTAATGTCTAACTCTGATCAAGTGAAGGATTTCGCACAACCTCAACCACTGTTTTCAGCAGTTATTGCCGACACTGAGAGTTAGACATTAACACAGTTGTTGGATGTAAGCCCAATAGTTCAGAAGTTAAGCCGAAGGTCGTGGGTTCGAACCCTGCGGGTAGCAGAAGTCCTAGCTACACATTGACAATCAAGAATCCCAAATGTAGGTCTAAACAGCCATCTTTCAATGCTTCCATGTTTCTAACGGTTTAGTCAAACAATAATTTATTCCTATAAAGAACTATTTTTACTTGAAATAAGTCAGAAAAAAATGTTCTTCTTTTTTTTAGAAAAAACAAGGGGGGACTTAGAGGGATTGAGTAAATGAAACAAAATGAAATAGTCAAAAATGCGTTGAATAAATAAAAACTTTGAATGTTTACACACTCACACTCACACTCACACACACTCACCCACATATGTGGTAAAATTAGTTATCTCTACAGTACAGCACAGTAGAGTATAGTATAGTATAGTACAGAGGTATGAAAGACAAAAAAACTGTATGCGCTAATGCGATAATAACATTATGAAATCTGTTATTTTTTTTTCGCTTTCAAGAAAAGAAAAGGGGGAGAAAAACAATTGTCAAAAATTTTGCTTATCACTAAAAATTTTTTTAATTTTTTTAACTTTTTGAGAAAAGCCGAAAAATAAGAGGCCTAATTTCTATTATAAGCTAACAAATATTTATTCAATAGTCTACCCCCCTCCGATTGACCACACACAATCAACCAACCATCCAACATGCCTTAGCTCTCTCTATCTATCTCAAATGAAGATTAAAAAAATAATCAGAGAGAGAGAGAGAGAAGAGTAAGTAAACATTAAGTAAATTTTTAAAAAAAATTGTAAAAACGGAGTTGAGATTTGAAAAAAAAATAATTTTGAAAGACAATTTGAACACAAAGAAAAAATTACTACGCAGTATGAAGAGAGAGAGATAGAGAGAGAATTGAACTTTTTAAATAAAAGAAGTATTTTTTTTAAGATATTTGCGTGATTATATGAATCCTATGTGCCTTCAACAAATTGGTCATCGGTGGCACAATATTCCCCCGCACGAATGCATTCACAAAGTCACATGGATTTCATCGGACCACACAACTCAAAACCGAATTGATCATATCTGTATCAACAAAACATTCAGAAGGACTATGGAGGATGTGAGAACCAAGAGAGGAGCTGATATAGTACGTTAACACCTTTACATATCTGGGCAGCATCATCGACGAGAAAGGTGGATCCGATGCAGATATGAGGGCGCGGATTGGCAAAGTAAGGGCTGCATTTCTACAGTTGAAAAATATCTGAAACTCCAAACAAATATTAATCAACACCAAAGTCAGGATTTTCAATACAAATGTCAAGACAGTTCTACTGTATGGAGCCGAAACTTGGCGAACTACCAAAGCCATCATCCAGAAGATACAAGTGTTTATTAACAGTTGTCTACACAAAATACTTCGGATTCGTTGGCCAGACACGGTCAGCAACAATGTACTGTGGGAGAGAACAAACCAGATTCCAGTGGAGGAGGAAATCAGGAAGAAGCTATGGAAGTGGATAGGACACACTGCGAAAAGCACCTAACTGCGTCACAAGACAAGCCCCCACATGGAACCCTCAAGGTCAAAGGAAGAGAGGAAGGCCAAAGAACACACTACGTCGAGAAATAGAGAAAGATATGAGAGGAATGAACAAACATTGGACAGAACTGGAGAAGGAAGCCCAGAACAGAGTTGGTTGGAGAAAACTGGTGAGCGGCCTATGCTCCACTGAGGGGTAACAGGCGTAAGTAAGTAAGTAAGTGATTATATGAATGCCAATATCCACACATTATTGTTAGAATATCATTTGAAGAAACTTCGCCAATAGTCCCTTCGGGGCTACTACTGCCGGTCCAGAAGCCCGAATAAAGGAGGAGGGGTTGGACATGAAGTTGGCGACCCCATCCCACCAAAAAACGCTAACCAGAAAAACTAATTCAAACCATTTTAACCTCTGCCCTGGGAGTTGAAAGAAAGAATTATGACGTTGCGTGATAAAAGCCGAGTTCCCTTGAAAGTCACGGAGCCGATGCCTCTTCTGACAACCAGAGCAACTATTTTTTTAGATACATGGAACGTTCGTACACTGTGGGAGACTGGAAGACTATTTCAATTAATCATTTGAAGAAGTCTTGAATGAGAATTGACCAACAATCCTGATTGAATCCAACAAAACAGCATCTGAGGACCTCACACATAACTGATGCGGATCCACCACTGACAGTATGAAGAGATCAGCGTGGTCATCAGAAAAATCAAGGAAGGCAAAGCAGCGGGACCAGGCAACATTCCAGCTAAGGCAGCAACTTCAAAAATGCTCTACATTCTCTTTAACAAGTACTAACAGACTGGAAAGAAGGATAACTCTTCAAAATACCAAAGAAAGGCGATCTCAGCTAGTGTCAGAACTACAGAGGCATCACACTCTTCTCTCAATACCAGGGAAAATCTTCAAAAGGGTATTGTTAAACAGAATGAAAGATTCATTAGACGCCTAACTTTGAGATCCGCAGGATGGATTCCGTTAGGATCGATCATGTAGCAATCAAATCGTGGAACTACGAATGATTGTGGAACGAACTGGATAGAATTCATCACTATACATCAAGTTCCCTGACTACGAGAAAGCATTTGATAGTAGTGTAGAGACATCTTCGACAATATCATACGGAATTATTATGATGAACTACACTGCGATTTCATGAATCTAGGGCAGCTGATTAACTCATTCCAAATGAAGATCCGTGTCAGACAAGGTTGCTTACTCTCACCCTACCTCCTTCTCCTGGTGGTCGACTGGATTAAAAAGATGTCAACATGTGGAGGAAGCACTGTATACAGTGGGCAGCCAGGATGCAGCTGGACGATCTGGACTTCGCAGATGATCTAGCTATTCTATCGCACACGCAACAACAAATGAAGCAGGAGATGATCAGTGTAGCAATACATTTCACAGAAGTAGGTCTGAACATATACAAGGGAAAAAGCAAGATTCTCCGATACAGTACAACGTGCACCAACTAAATCACACTTGGTGGAGAAGCTTTTGAAGATGTGAAAACGCTTACACACTGGGGCAGTATTATTGATAAACAAGATGGAACTGATGATGTGACAAGACAACTCTCAACCAACAAACATCAAGACAGTTTTATTGTCTAAAGCTGAAACTCGGAGAATTACCTAAGCCATCATCCGGGAGATACAAGTATTTAATGACAGTTGTCTATACAAGATACTGCGAATCCATTGACCAGACATAATCAGCAACGACCTACTAGAGGAGACAACAAACCAGATTACCAGCTAAGGAAGAAATTGGGAGAAAACGCTAGAGGTGGATAGTATACACATTGAAGAAATCATTTAACTGTTACTGGGTCACACCTTGAGTCTTTAACTCAAAAACTTGATCTACACAAACAGGAGCAGAGTAACATTTAGAGACTCAAAATTTTCTCACCCAACCGTAGGTGCTACCTTGACGTGGTGGTCGGGCTTGCCTATCGTGCTGACACAACCGAGCTATATTGGTTGGAACACATGTTCCTTTTAGGTCCTACTATGCCAGACAGATCGGATGGAAAACGATAAAACTAAAAAGCAAGAACTTTAATGTCTGAGCGTGAAGTCATGTTGCTAACTGTACAGAGGTGTGACAACAGTAAGATGTTTCCCTCAGACAACCAGCATCTTCAGTAGTGCTGTCTTCTCATGAGGAAGGAACGAGTTAGAAAAGGTCGACCCTAAAAACTATCACACCTCATCTTATTTCATGGATTTCCGTCTCCAGCGATTAGGCCATTCGAAGAGCGGAGATAACAATTTACAAACGTCTTATAAAAAGGCTATGCGCGACCTGCATTAAGCAGTGGTCTTTTCGACTTTGCAGTCACGCTCCTCGGTCTCTAAGGCCTGCATTAATCCAATTTCCTTTCCAGCTTCCTCAGAAAACAGTCTTCCACAATGTGGCGGCCAGGAAATGACCTCCGCCATCATACTCCTATTGGCACACAAGACTAAATCGGTCAAAATCATAATCATTTACTCTATCTCGGAGTTCTAGTGGGGATACCTTGATCAATGAGGTTCGTGCCAGCTATCAGGTGGTTTAACCACCGAAGACAATGAATGATGATGATGACCATGTAATGAATATCATGGTCTGACTGAAGCTAAATATCAGCATAGTTAAATGACGGCTTAAAATGATCAACAGTTTAAGCATTCACATGCAATTCCCTAGGTTCGATTCCCTTGTACAGACCTATGCCATCACTCACATATATGAGGATAAAATCACCATCTAGCACTTCTAAATTCTTGCTTAACCCTCATCACTATTGACCAATTAATTCATTTATTCAATCACAATTCAATAAACAGTATGTTTTTTCTTAAAAAAAAAAAGTATTCTCTAGTCTAACCCAGAAAATCACTTACTTGACTGTTGTGAAAATAATTGAACAGATGTTGGCAATAAACAATGATTCTGTTGTTGACGTTGATTTAACATGAGAGGTGATTGTCGACTTGATCGATTATAATAGTCCAACTCCAACTGATGATGATCATGATGATGTTGTTGTTGTTCTCGTTGTTGTAATTGATAATGTTGTTGTGTACATGAACAATTCACTTTGGATTCATACAGTTTATTGGGGCGATTACTAGGACCATTACTACTACTTGTACTACTACAATTACTCTGATGTTGTAACTGTTGACGCTGCTGTTGCTGATGAGGATGACGATCACGTAATTGTGACGGATCGCTATTACCTAATTGCTGATGAGAATGAGGATGTTGATGAGGTCTTGACAAATCTCCTCTTTGTGTCATATTCAACAATAAATGATCCGGATTGAATTGATTTGGATTAATTGAAGAACAACTACTATCCAATAACTCAATACTCTTATTATTATTATTGTTATTATTGCTGATCGAGATAGGAAAATCAACATGAGGCGGAAGGAATTTATTATTAGTAGTATTGTGGTGATACATAGAAGAGAATAATAGTGAATCGGAAAAATTTGTTAAACCAAATAATGAATTATTATTATTATTATTGCTATTGGTATTATCATCAAAACAACATAAAGAAGAAGATGATGATGATAATTTCTTTGTATTGTCACATTGAACATTGAACATTGAACAATGTTGATGCTGTTGAACATGATGACTAGTACACATTGTACCATTGGTTCCAGTTGTCATGATTGTTGACGGTAACGATGATGATGATGATGAAGATGATGCGGATGAGGATTTCAGGATGCTGGTGTTCACCGGTAATAACTGTTGCTGTTGTTGCTGTTGGTGGTGGTGATCATCACATTCTGTTGTTGTTGTCAATGTATTGTTATGCATTGACATATTCATTGGTGCTGGTGTAATTGGTGAATATTGACTAGTGTTAATATTGAATGCAGGTGTTTGATAATTGGATAATTGTAATGGTTGAGGAATTGGACGACGATGAAAGGTTGCTGGTTTATTGAGTTGTTGGTGTTGGTGTTGGTGTTGTGTTGACGACCAAGAAGATGAGGGAGCTGAAGATGACGTACAGGAGGAGGCTGATGATAATAACGGTGATAATGATGCCGAAACATGAAGTGATTGTTCATGATTGTTCAATTTTAATAATGATGTCTAAAAGAAAGAAAATTATTGGAAACAATTCACTAATCAATAGAGATGAGTGTTGAAATCACAAACTGATCTTATTGAGACAATGAGTGGAAGCGATGAATGGTTGTTCTAACTCTACCTAGAGGTCTTCTAAGGTTACTGCGGGTCTCATGTTAGGATAAAGGAGGAGAGTTGGGCATGGGATTGGGTTAGCGACCTCATCCCGTAGAAATTCAAATCACCAAATAAAACTCTAGCCAGAAAAATAATTCACAGGTCGGTTGCCTGTGCACCATTAAGGGTAAATAGTAAATAGTAAGTAATCACGGTCGTTCGTTTGTCATGTAGTATGAGACTCTTTCACTCTATTGACCATGAGATTCTGTGGCAGTCTGTCACTGTAAGGTGTACCAAAGAAGTACATTAATCTTAAACAGGCTCTCTACTCGAATACCACTGGTCGGGTGAGAGCTAATGGTAAACTGTCATCGGAATCGATTACTTCAAGTGGTATCCGTCAGGGCTTGGACACTCTCTTTATTTCTGTTTAACTTTGTCGTAGATATGCTTCCAGAGTTAACATTATCGTCGTCTGACTCTTCAGGAATGGATCTTCTACCAGGCGACACGCTTGCTGACTTAGAGTATGCTGATAACATAGTTGTATTTGGTGGAGACGCTGACAGAATGCACAGTCTTTTGACTACCCTAAGCAAAAATGCAAGCATGTTCGGGACGCTTTACCCCTACTCGAAATGCAGAATTTTGCTTCAAGATTGGGTTGCATTGGCACGTGAACTATTAATAGTGAGTGAAGTAGTGGAGAGTGTTGACCGCCTTACGTATCTCGGTAGTATCATCAATGCTAATGGCTTGGTGTATGATGAAATCTCAGCTCGGATACAGAAGGCTCGATTGGTTTTTGCCAACCTGTGCCACTTATGGCGAAGGCGAGATATCCGTTTGCTGACTAAAGGACGGGTGTACGGTGCAGCAGTTCACTCCGTCTTGTGATACGGATGCGAAACATGGTCGGTGAGAGTAGAGGAATTCCGTAGGTTACTAGTCTTTGATCATAGATGTTTAAGAAGCATTGCTCGTATATCTTGGGACAACCAAGTAAGCAATGATGTCGTTAGGAAACGAGTACTAGGTAGGAATGGCAAATCAATAGATGAAGTAGTGAAACTTCATCAGTTGAGGTGGTTAGGACATGTGTTACGTATGCCTAACCACTGACTGCCGCGACGAGCTATGTTTTGTGGTGTAGGAGTAGATTGGAAGAAAGCTAGGGGCGGCCAAACCAAAACATGGCACAAATCCATGAAGTCACTGACAAGTGGACTTGAGTGATGTTGGTAGATGTAGGCTACCTGGTTGGGGTCCGCGAGACGAAAGTCACCGATGGTTAGAGACCTTGAATGAGATGGCTCAGAATCGTCTGCAATGACGCAGGTGAATCCATTCTTTGTGTTCTCTCGAATTCTAACCTTCTGAATTCCTCATCATCTGTATCTTCATCTTTCTTAAATTATCTCACTGAATTATAATTTCCGAATAATATCTTCGAACTCTAATCTTCTCCATTACTGCTAATACTTCTAACATCTCCACCACTATAGGATTTGAACTGACAGTTACGTCTCTGTACTGACGCGGTATGGCAACCTGAGCCTATGTACTCATGTACAAAGTTCTACGTTGTAACAGACTGACTGACTGACTGACTGTTGCGTTGAAGAATCCTAATCAACGGTCTATTATACTCCATGAAAGGGTAACAGGCATAAGTAAGTTGGAGATAGTCGAAACACGTCAACCAATAATCGATGGTTAGAGACCTTGAATGACATGGCTCAAAATCGTTTGCAATGGCGCCGGTGCATTTATTCTTTGTGCTCTATCAAATCCTAATCTTTTGGATTCTTCAACACCTCTAGTTGTGACTTTCTAAACTTTTCTCATTAAATCATACTTCTTGAATAATATCTTCTAATCCTAACCTCTCCGATTACTTTTAATACCCTTACTACCTCTTCTACTATTGGATTTGAATTAACCATTATATCTCTGTGCTGATGTGATATGGCAACATGAACTGATGTACTTACGTACGAAGTTCTACGTTGCAACTGACTGACTGACTGAAGGAATCTTAACATAAACACGTAAATACCAATAATAATAATAATAATAAAAACTGTTGATTTCAACTTACTAAATGAATATTTGGTGGCATAATATTATAATTATTATTATTACTACTACTAGTAGCATTAATAGTAGTCTGTTTCAATGGGAAATTTGTTAAGCCTTTTAAATGATTATTATTAATATTATCAATATTATCATTGTTCTGATTTGACAATGGGACATTTTCCATCGATGACCATTTCTGATCGAATAGATGCATATCCAATGGACATTGAACAGTGTTGCTAATATGATTATTATTATTATTATTATTATGACTTGTAGTATGATTTGAAATAGACTGCCACCAATCATCACTATCCATGAAACTAAATAATTCCGATCGTTGTGATGTGGAATTAAGAAGTTGATTATTATTATTATTATTATTATTATTATTATTACCGGTACTACTACTATTATTGCCAATAGTAGTATCTGTAGTACTACTAGCACTAGCAGTAGTCGAAGTAGTAGTGGTAATGGTTGTAGGAGGAGTACTAATCACATTCAGCACACCATGAATCGATGATGCTGGTGCTGATGACGATGATGTTGGCGGTGATGGCGACGCTGAAGATGATTGTCTACTATGATGATCACTTGTGAATTGCAGTCTGTGAGACAAATCATTCCCATTCAATAGAATTGCTGGTGTGGTTTTAGACAAAGTTGTAGTGATTGTAGTCTGATTATTGGTCAATGCATTGGATGAGAATATTGAATTCAATGTGGCTGCTACTAAAGATGATTCAGTCAATGAGAGATTAGTAGTATTAGTAGTATTAGTAGTGTTGTTAGTAGTATGACTATCTTTTTTAATCATATCAACAATATGATCAAATTCCAATGAGTTTAGAGGAAATAATTGATTTCGATGTTGTTGACGTTGTCGCATTGCGGTATGATCATCATAGGACAGTGATAACCATGAATGATCATGCATTATTGTTGAAGATAACGATAGCGCTGATGAGGATGGAGGCTGCTCTCGCTGCCTCCGCGGCGGATGATGTTGATGATGATCAAATGGTAATTGAGACTTTGTTTGTTCATTGGGAACACTTCCACCGGAGGAAGTACAACATACATCAATTAATGATGCGTTATAAGATGTATCGAGCAGTTGTTTATTGATTGAATATGACGGAGTATTACTATTATCATGATTATGAGTAGTATTTGTAGTCACCAGATCGTGATTATGATGACTGTTCAACGATGATGTATGATGTTGATGAGGATGATTAGTTGAATTGAATATAGGTGAATGATTTGTTTGAATGGAATCATTATTGTTCAATGTTGTGGCGGATGTTTTAATTATTCTTGATAAATCAATCGAATTAGGCGTAACAGTACTGCTTGTGATAAATTCACTAGTTCTAGCATTCTCTTTAGTAAATTTTGATGTAGTTGAATTGTTGGCTTTGTTATGTGATGCCTAGATTTGGTTGTTTGTTGGTTGGTTGGTACAGATTAATAAAAACAAGAATCATATTACTATGTATAGAAATAATTTGAATTTGTTTTTTTTTCATAGTTTGTATGATATAAACAAAAATATTATCAATCATGAATTGAAATCATGAATCAATGATCAATGTTGAATCACTGTTAGAAATGTTGAAGTGTGCCACTGGATAGGTAGGTGTGTTTCGCTCTAGTATGCAAAAATGTCAACACTGTGTGTGTATGTGTGTCTCATGACCATGTAGGGTGAGACTTGAACTTACGGATTTTGCTGCACCCGGACATCTCTTGGCTACTACTACCACTACTACTAACAGTTTTTTTGTCTGAATGTAAAATTAGGTTTTTTCATGAGAAATGAAAATTCTTAATCTGAAAGCGTAGTCACACTGATGATTGCAGAAAGGTGTGACAGCAGTAAACTGCTTTCCTAGGACAAACAGCATTGGCAGCGATGTCACCTTCTCACAAGAAAGGAAGTCGACCTTGAAAATGTCATACACCTTACCTCACGGATTAACGTCTCCGGTGGTAAGGTCTCACGAAGAGCGGAGCCAAATGTTCAATAACTTTTTATAGAAAAAGCCGTATGTGACCGGGTTCAACCAGTTGCCATTCAGCTCTACGATCACGCTTTCAGGTCTCTAAGACCAACACTAATCCAACTTCTTAGATAAATACCTGAAATAATAGTAACAAATCTTGGCAACTGGTGAACAATGATCTTATGTTCTTTTTATCTTCGGTTGGATAAGTTAGTATTAAATTATCTTTCAAGCATAGAATAGAAAGTCTCTTTATCCTTAGAGGGATGACTGCATATTGGCTCATGAAAAACAGTCATGAGGAATTGAGATTAGAATTTGAGAGAATCCAAAGAATGAATGCATATGCGCTACTGAAAACGACTTTGAGACATGTCTCTAACCATTGGTTACTGCTGTCTCACTGAATATTCAAGCAGATAGTCTACATCTACTAACTTCAGTCATTCCAGTTGTCATTAACTTCATGGATTTTTGACGTGTTTTGTTTTGGCCGCCACTAGCTTTCTTTCAACCTATTCGTACACTACAAGACATCGCTCGTCAAGGTAGCTGGCGGTTAGGCATACGTAAAACATGTCCTAACCACTGTCGACTGATGAAGTCTCTGTTATGCTCGTCAATTGTTATGCTTGAAACCATTACGAGTTCACCTTAGTCGGTAAACGATAGAGAAGACTAATGATGCAGTGACACGATAGGCTACTCTAATCCGAGCGTCCCAAGGCCCCACTAGTTAGAGGAAGAAGTCTTGACAAGATGTAGAAAGTGTATTCTACAAGCACACAAATTGAGTTTATTTATACATGATAGAAACTTCCTTGGGACAGCCACAAAAACAGCGTACTAAAATTAAACATCAACCAATGACAGTCAAGGATTTCTCGAGTGGGAAATGTAATCTCAACGTCAATTGAGCAGCTAATGCGCGAAAGCACAAAAAATCCGAAATTAGGGCCTTTATCAAGTGAATTCTGGAGATCTAACGTCCCCAACAGTTTCACTATTTCAAAAATTGTTTCGCCATTCTCACGTAGTACCCTTTTCCTAACCCAAGCATTGCTTCTGTGATGTACGAGCAATGCTTCGGAGACACGTATGATCGAAGGCAAGCAATCTACGAATGTCCTATACTCTCACCGGCCATGTTTCGTATCCGTATAGTAGGACGGAGCGAATTGCTGCGCATTACACTCGTCCTTTGGTTAGCAAACGGATATCTCACCTACGCAACAAGTGACGCACCTCCGCAAAAGCCAATTGAGCCTTCTATATCCATGCGGAGATTTCGTCAAACACAAAGCCGTCAGCACTAATGAAACTCCTCAGACAAAGGAAGCAATTAACACGTTCAACTACTTCACTCTCCATCACTAGTTCAGACGCCGATGCAAGTCACTTCGCATTTCGAATTAGAGAAAAATGAGATGATATATCGTTAGCTTCAGCATAGTTAACCAATAAAAAAAATCAAAAACGATGCACTTACTCTATTTGCTCTTGAATGTGATTTAACATTGTTGAATGACTTCAACGAATAATCCATATCTGTAGATAATGATGAGTAGAGTTTTTTCTTTGAATCTGAATTATTATTATTATTATTATTATTTTTGTTATTGCTATGCGAATCGATTGATTTGTTGCTTCCTTTATTACTAATAATTTTATCAGTAGTAGTGGTAGTGGTAGTAGTAGTATCTGTTTGACCTGATTGTAGTATCGTCGCTGATGCTGATGATGCCGGCGTTTGCAGTGTCGTCACCGTCGACGTCGACGCCGTTGAAGTCGTCGTTGTGGTGGTCGAATTCTGGCTCATACCACTTAGACCAGCTGGTCCATAACCTCCATGCAATCGCATATGGCCATTTAATGCCGATTGATTTTTAAAACGTTTAGTACATATGGCACATGCTACACGTTTTGGTTCTTCCAACGGGTGTGTCATAAGTAAAGCAACTTTAGCGGCATTCTCTACTTCAATTGGATTCAATGTGAAATGATTTAGTGTGAGTGGAGTTTTGTTAGCATTAGGCATGATTGTCGAATTATTGTTATTACTATTAGTTTTAGAAAATAAAGTTTTGCTCAACAGAGCATTGGTTATAGTTGATGTTAACGATTCATTGCGAATCGATGATGAGGCTGATGCTAGTGTGGTTGTAGTGGACGCTGATGTTGTGGCGATAGCAGTGTCTGATAATTCATCAGTGATCATATTGATTGTGTCGATTTCATTGTCGACTTGGATATCCATCATGTTACTGTTATTATTACTATTGGGAGGAATTGTAGTTGACAATGAACTAGGCGAATGACAAACCGATCGTGATGTTGGCGCCGGTGATGATCGATTGGCGCCAAGAGATTGATCAATAGCATTTTGACTAGTTGATAATTTTGATTGTTTCAATGATTTGACACCATCTATAATAATAATGCAGAAACATAAATACAGACACCTGAGGAATGATTTCGTCAACCACTAACGTAAGTCAGAATTTTCAATACAAATATCAGCAAAGATTCTAATTTATAGAGATGAAACGTGCCTGATGTGTGTCAAAGTATCAGCATGGATGCAGTCAGTCAGTCCGATCAGTCAGTTGCAACGTGGAACTACGCACGTATGTACATAAGTTCATGTTGCCATACCATACCACATTAGCACAGAGACTCAAATGTCAAATCAAATCCCATAGTGATAAAGATAGTAAAGGTATTAATGGTAATGAAGAAGACTAGGATTTGAAGATATTATTCAAGAAGTATAATTCAGTGAGATAAGGTTAGAATGACAAAGGTAGAGGTGCTGACGAATCAAGAAGATTAAGATTTGAGAGAGCACAACGAATGTATGTACTTGCGCCATTGCAAACGATTTTGAGCCATGTCCCGACCGAAGCTGCTACCTTGACCTGGTGGTCGGGCTTACCTATCGGGATGACCCAACCGAGCTATATTGGCTGGAACATATGTTCCTGAAGGTTCTACCATGTCAGGCAGGTCGATTGGAAAGCGATGAGACTAAAAGCAGCTACTCAAGGTCTGAGGACGAAACCGTACTGATGAATGACTGCGGAGGGGTATGACAGCAATAAAATGTTTCCATCGGACAACCTGCAGCGATGCTGTTGCCTTCTCACAAGGAAGGAAGGGTTAGAAAAGGTCGACTCTAAAAACGTCACACCTCACCCTACCTCACGGATTTCCGTCACCGGCGGTAAGGGTGCCCACTAAGGACTTTCAAGAGCGGAGCCAATACTGAAAAAATCCTTTCATGCGTGACCGGCCTCAAGCAGTTGTCCCTTGGGCTCTGCGGTCACGCTCTCAGGTCTCTAAGACCAACACTAATCTATCTTCCTTTCCAGGTCTCTCAAGAAACAACTTTCCACGGCGTGGGCAGCCGGGAAGTGACAACCGCCCTCATACCCGTAGCAGCACACGAGCCTAAATTGGTCGAAATCAAATCAAATCAACACAGAAGCACAAAGCTCGATTGGCTTTTGTTAACTTGAGTCACTTATAATGTAGGTGAGAGATATCTGTCTACTAACCAAAGAATAAATCTACTGCTCAGCACTTCGCTCCGTCCTACTATGGGCAGTAAGAGTAGAAGGATATTCGTAGGTCACTGGTATTCGATCATAGGTGCCTTCGAAGAATTGCTTGTATATCTTAGGATTATCGAGTAAGCACTGCTGTTATCAGGGAATAGGTCGTAGGTAGGTAGAGGATGGCAGAACAACTGATGAAGTAGTGAGACTATATCAATTGAGTGGTGATTGAAACATGTACTACTTACGCCGCATCACTAACTGTTTCGATGAGCTATGTTTTGTGGTGTAGGGATGGACTGGAAGAAAGCTAAAGAGGCTGCCAAACCCATACATGGCACATATCCGTGAAGTCACTGACAAGTGAACTAATTCATGTTAGTACATGTAAGGTAACTGCTACTGGTTAAGATCTGTGAGACAATAGTAAGCGATAGTTATAGACTTTGAATGACATGGATGAAAATCGCTTGCAATGCAACCAAAGCATAAGTCTGTGGCGCATTAGTTTGTTCCATCCTACTATACGGATGTGCAGCATAGTCAGTAAGATTAGAAGATATTCGTAGGTCACTAGTAATTGATCACTCATAACACATGTTCCAACCACTGACTGCCTAGACTGGCAATGTTGTCTGATGTAGGAATAGGTTCGAAAAAAAAATGCTAGAGGCGATCAAAACAAAGCATGACACAAATCCATGAAGTCATTGACAACAGCAATAAGTCATGTTGGTAAGTGTAGACTACTTGGTTGGGGTCCACGAGATGATAGTAGTAACCGATGGTTACAGACTTTGAACGACAAGGATTAAAATCGTTTGCAAAGCCGCAAATGGTTCTCTCAACCTTTGATATTGTGAATGCCTCTAAATTTTGTTTCACTGCGGTGATACTTCTCGAATCACATCTTCGAACACTAATCTTCTCTATGACTGCTGTTACTTTTACTGCCTATATCACAAAGGTATCTGAATGGGCAATTGCATCTCTCTGTGTTAGTATGATTCAACAACAACTTGGACTGCTGTACGTACGTATGTACGTACGAAATTCTACATTGTAGCTGATTGACTAAATGAGCACATGCTTATCATTTTCATGATTAAGTTATGAAGATCGTTATGACAAATTGGGCATAAGTCAACCTATTTTAGCTGAACATATAAATCAGATTATATAATTGTATCAAGTACTATAATCTATATTCTTCTGTTCAACTTGAATTTTCTTCCAATAAACCAATTTTTTCTAATTCTTTCCTAGTTTAATTTGTTAATTTTATACTTGTGTGTTTATTGATTTGAAAAAACAATTACTACAACATGAGATGTGCATTCCATTATAAGCAACTCAAATACTGAACCAATCAGAAGTGGCCAAGCGAGAAGGTCACTCGACGACCTTCAGAAAGGTCGTAAAGAGTGAATGAATGAATGAATATGAATGGTCAAAAAATGGATTCATTTTCTAATAGCTCTGTCTACTACTACTACTACTACTTCTAACTAAGATTGCAAATAATAATAGTAATAATTATAAAACATTAACATTTATGAATGTCAGTGATGATCATTGAAAATTCGGAAATTGATTGGTTTTAGTCAGAGATTTTTTTCAGCATTGTAAATCTGAAAGCTCATAACACTAGAGGAATCAAACACAGAATCTTCAGTCGCGTGAGTAAACGTGCATTTACCTAGTAACTAGCTTCGAAAAGAGAATCTTTCAAGTTCTAATGAGTTGTTATCAGTGGAGTTTTGATGCTGTGGGGCAGTTACACAACGAAAACAATGGATGATGATAGCACGATACCGTGAACTGGTTAAAGCGAAGCACTAACGTTGTTGTATACCAACTCACTGATTTGGAGATCAGGTATTCGCAAGCGAGATCGGAGGATTTGGATGCAATACCTCAGGAACGCCATAATGTCGAAGAAGCCTCCATAGTGCTATTCTGTTTATTCTATCAAATGCTTTCTCGTAGTCAATGAAGTTGATGTTAATTCTATACAATCGACTGTCCCACAATGATTCGTTATGTTACAATTTGGTTGGTACGTGATCCATCCTTTCGGAATCCACCCTGCTGATCTTAATGTTGGGCGTCTATGCAGTCGTACATTCAGTCTAACAACACTCTGTCGCACACTTTGCCTGGTATCGAGAGAACAGTGATTCCTTTGTAGTTTTCACACTTACTAAGATCGCCTTTCTTCGGTATTATGATCAGGTATCCTTCTTTTCAGTCTGTTGGTACTTGTTCTTCCCCCCCACCAATTCTTATTGAAGAGAATGTGGAGAATCTTAGCAGTTGTGAATAAATTTTATTTTAACATACATATGTGCATTCTGTACGGATTATCTCGATATTATCATCAGGTTACGAGTATTACTATCAACTGTGTGAGATCCCGGTATATTCAACTGCAGGCAATTAGCATATAAGATGCAATGCACGTCCTGGCTTCCACAGCTAAACACTATCCACCTCTGCTAATAATGCTTGCAACGTAAAAGCAGAATCGAGGCAATCTGCACAAAATGAACATCTGCTCAACAAACTGATCGATTGCAGGCCTGACACATCAGTTTGTGGTGGGGGGGGGAAGATTCATATAACCAATCAGTGCAAATGAAATCAGTGAACGATTACGTCTGTATCACTGATTAAAACATACTTCACAAAATGAATCTATGACAGCGGTAATAATTATTCGTGTACAATAATTTAGTGGTCTTGATCGAGGTTAAGCGCTCGCATAAGTGAGATCGAAGGTCTTGTTTTCGAATCCTGCGAGTGCGGAGGTTGTGGACGCCCATTGCCACTGAAGAGTCTCATATAACTAGGAGAACGAAACACCCGTCAAATGCTTTCAAGTTTCTAATCCATAGAGTGAAACAGTACACACAGTGATAGAAGTTGAACGCATTACTGATCACTACACGCACACACACACTAATGCGTAGGGAAGTCATTAAAATTATGCCGCCTCCCCCGGCAAACCGCCCAATCCCTTCAATTTGTCGTCAATGCTTTAGTAAGGTAGCAAAACGAAATTCATGATGGTGTTTCGTTCTCTGAGCTAGTAGATGTTTTGATTGTGGAACTTTCATTGTTCTTCAGAACAACATCATCAGCACAAACTTCGGGTAGAGTAGTGAAGTATTCGAATTTCTTCACGTGCTCACCTCGATCTTGATTGGTTGCTGTTGATCTTAAACCTGTCGTTGTTTTCACCTTTGTTTTGATTGTATCCCCTTTTGATCTGTTTCTTGATCCTGTGTCACCTATGATTTTTCTGATTGGTTGATAAATTGGGTCAATGTCGATGTGTTTGTTGATTGCTGATTGACTTGTGAGTGCCAGGCTTCTAAAAATCCACTAGTGTTCTTTTTACTGCGCCTATCCAGTATTTCCACATCGTTCCAATTGAATTTATATAAGCGAAGAATTGTCGTGGCGTTTAACTGCTAATTGGTGTTCACATAAACGAAGCTCAAAAGGTCATCCACTTTGTCCTATGTTT